TTTTCAAATGCCTTTACAATACTATAGAGGCATTTTAAAAAATGTCTAATAAGTGCCTTATGGTGAATTGTCTCTACAAACGAAGAGGCATTTTATAAAATGTCTATAAGGTGGTAGAGGCATTTTCTAGAGACATTAAATTGTACCACAACCATATGAAACCAATATGAAAATGAGAATAAAATATTTTCTCTTATTTTTGCCAATCCTTGAACTCATGATCTCTTGAACAAATCATTCTTTTCTTCAAGGCACTAACCAACTCAACCCCATGTCATTCATTGTATATGTTTATGCCTTAAGTTACTTATATTTAGCCATTTATTATACTTTTATTGTAAGAAGTGTCTCTACAGAGTTTAAAGTGTCTCAAGCAAATGACTTTACATGTTAGATACATTTTAAAGTGCCGAAAGAATGTCTCTACAAGATAAAATCTAATAAAATGTGCTGAGAATATTTTTAAAGTGTCTCTAGAGTAAAAATTTTCTAGACAATTTTGAAAGTGCCTCTATAAAGTGTCTCTACGCTATAAAACTCTTGATCTTAGAGGCAATTTGTAAAATGCCACTACAAAAGTGTCTTTATATAATGTTTTTGTTGTAGTGACAGGACCATTACTGCCGCCACGGCCGCCCCTCCGTCCGCCGGCGGTTGGCCGGCCGGATTAGGCCGACGGCTCCCGATCCTTGTCGGAGTCGGAAGCCGGCCGTGCCCGGACGCCATTCCCCGGCACCCTGTTAGGGAGTGTACGGCTAGGAAAGCCATGGGGAACGGCAATGAAGGTGTGGCGGAGGCCGGGACGGCGAGCGGCGGCTTCATCGGCGTGACGACGAGACGAGGACGGATTGAAGAAGGGCGGCTCCCCCGTGCGCGCAGCCAGGGTACCGGTCCGGCCAGACCCCAGTGGCGCGGGAGTGGGGGAACGGCGTTGGCGTTGGCGTCGGCTTGGTGTCGGTGGAGGTGGTGGAGGAGCGGTTGATGGTGGCGGCAGCGACTCCATCTCCGGGGGAAGATCGCATGGCTCGCCGGGCAGTGTCACCACTGCAGTCCATCCGTGGTAGGCACAGTACTGCACCCCCTGCACAAGGATCCGGCGAGGTGCTTCGGTAACCGAAGGCGGAGGAGGAGGCGCGACAGGGACGGGCGGGGGAACCACAACCGGAGTTGCAGTCACACGGCGGCGAGGGTAGTGGCGGCGGCCACCAACCCTAGCCCTGCCTCCGCGGGATCCCCGGTGTGTGCTCCTCATCGGTCGACGAAGAAGATAGCGGAGCCGGCGTGGGTGCTGATGGCGAGGGAGGCCGAGAACGGCATCCATGATCCAATGAAAGGTAGGCATCGTACCTTCTCTGTTGATTCTTCTATTCACTTTTCTGTTAGATCAAAAGTGATGTTTCTTTCTTCTTTCACTTCGCGATCTTCGCGAGAGCGAAAGTGCTGATAACGTGTTGAAAGTGTATAAAATTGATTGAGCGAGAGAGATTGAGAGAGAGAATTTAACACAAGAATGTAGGGAATGAATGAGCGGAATCCTTTATTGATCAATGCGGTACAATATATAGATGGGGAAGGGGTGGCAACCGGAGACACGATGGTTGGGAACCATCGCGTCCGTTGCTAAGGAGCGCCTATCCATCCTTTTATATGGATGAGATCACCCTGTTGTTTTGTAACAATCACAACGTAGACATACATCATTGCCTGCAAGGTTAGAGGTGGCAATTTCCAGTTAAGGGTGGAGACCCGTCCCTACGGGGCCGGGGTCGGGTCTAATTATCCACTCGTGAAGTAATCGGGGTAGGGCCATGTTCTTGAGTTGGGCTGCGGGTGAGTTTGCAGTTTCACTCACGGGTGAACCAAGGGGTCCGAAAATGCAAAATAAAAAAACCAATTAATAACCCATTTCAAATGAAAGCCCACTGGGCCCAACTCATTGGAGCACTTATACATCACAAGTAACCATAGATCAACTCAGTCCCTGATCGTTCCCCACCCCCGTGCGTTTTCATGGGCTTCTCGCGATTTATGAGTCCTGACGCCGCCCTCTCACATCGCCCCTATCACTCCTGACACTCCAGCTCGCACATGGTTCCGCTAGTGGGAATCACCGCTTCTCAGTTCGTCTCTTCTCGTCGCAGGAAGCATCTCCCAGTTCACCGCCATGAGCTCTACAATTGGAGTTCGTTCGACCTTCTCTCAAGTGTCTATCGCACCCTTGTGTTCCAGCTTGTCAGCTAGCCGGTAGATACCTTCGATCTCCTCTCCCTCCATCCTAAAAGCGGCGGCCGGTGTTGGTGGATTGCCTCATATTCTTAGTTTTGGTTGTCTTCCCCTACGGGGCCCCGGCCAGGGGTGAGAGCAACTTTGCCTCTAAGTTGGAGTTCAGGGTCAGGAGCAGGTCAGGAGCGTGTTCTGGCCCTACCCTCCCTAACTCGCCCCATGGCCACCCCTATGCACGGTTGCTACTGTCAGGCCCTCTGTTCGCAGGTCATTCCTTCCTGAGATGCTAAGCAAACCCGACTCGAGCCTATCACTAAAGTGACCGTAACTTTCTCTCGATAGAACCTTTCTCTAGACAGAACAGGTTGGTCGGAGAGAGATGGCTACGGAACGCATGATTCACCAAATTTAGACCATTCGATCAATATTGGTCATCAAGATTTTTCTTCCAGCCCTGAATGCGAGTAGAGAAATTAAAGAGCAGCTATCCAAAGAGTTCAGACCACACTGTCGTCCCTTCAGCTTCGGTAGTTAAACTACAACACCATCACTTTATTGTTCTTTCACCCTTCACTTACACGGTAATTACTATCTCTGCCCGGCCTCTTCCATCCACAACGATTCTCATCTCCATGCCCATTTGGTCATTTGTGGAGCTAATGGGTGAACTAATTGTCTTAGCTTATTTTTCCATGATGGCATTCACAGTTCAGTACAAAGGAGGTGGAGAAGGTTCGTCTCTCATTTGCAATAGTCCATATTGTAGCATCTATATTTTTTAGTTGTATATTGCTGGTTTGGTTATGATTTTTATCATTATTTTTTTGCCATTTTTATGCAGAATTGCAGGAAGAATCATTTTCGGTTTGTTGGCAGCATTTGACTGTTGCAATGCAGAATTTGTTCTGATCTGCCCGTGCCTCTCATTGTTATGATTCATGTTAGATTATACTGAATTGTTCATTTTTGCACTATCTATCCTCACTCCTCATTGCATACTGCATAGGTGACGAAGCTCAAAAAATTTTCATTAGTTAAGTCATGTTGTCCTCTGCGCTCACAGAATTATTTGTATCATTAATGTTAGTTTCTTCTCTCTTGGTTCTTTTAAAGTGCGTTGATTTGAAAACTTTGGTGAAATCGATCGAGGTAAGATCAGGGAATAAATTGCAGGAATTTTAATTATTATTATCTTTATGACTTTCCATTATAAATGTATGTTTTCTCTCTTACTCCCTCAATCCCATAATATAAGATGCGGTCAAAGTTGGCACGGTATCCAAAACTAATCTTTAGCTTATAATTTCTCATATACTATAAGGTTTGTAGCAATAAAATTATAACCATACACTACTACGAAAACCATCTTTCGTGGCGGCCATTTTAGATTTTCGCTGGCGGAATTTGGAGCCGCCACAAAGAAAAGGCCAGGGGATATCAAGATCTTCGCTGGTGGTGGAGGGAGGAGGAGAGGGTAGATTTGGAGGGAGGAGGAGGAACGAGAGGATAAGGACTGGTAGGTGGATAAGAAGTGGTGGGTGCTGATTTTTAAATGGGCGGTGATATTTTTAAGAGCGTGATTTTTTTCAAGGGCGGTGCTCTTTAGTACCTGCGCAGCGAAAATCCGTTTTTCGCTGGTGGTAGGTTAAGAAGTCCGCCAGGAAAAAACGGGTTATTTTGCAAGCGGATTTCTTAAGCAACCGCCAACGAAAATGTATTTTCACTAGCGGTCCTAAACTCATCGCTAGCGAAAATGGATTTTCCCTAGCGGTCCTAAACCCTCTATCCCTCGTTAGAATTTCACAAGCGGATTTCTAATATGACCACCAGCAAAAAAAAAAAAATAGGGTACCGCCATGAAAAATTGTTTTTTATAGTGATATGAAAGTAAATTTAAATCTCATTCTAATGATATAATTTTTAACAAATAAAATTTATTTTATATTATATATAAGTGTTGGTCAAATGTTTTAAAGTTTGAATCTTGAAATATATGCCCGCCTTATATTATGGCATGGAGGGAGTAGTGATTACATCAAAATAGGTTGTGTATCTTTTATGGTTAAGCAGACTCCTATTCAATAAAAAAAAAGCAAAGTCCATTAATAAATAGTTTATTTTGTTAAATAGGAAGTGAAGGAGAACACAATGATACAACTTAGCCAGCATTGTGTTCAAACCTACCATACTATTGGACAAAAGTATTGGAACAAGCTTAATATACTTCTAGTAGCAACTTAAGTTAGATCTTTCCATGTTAATTGAGTTGACCACAATTACAATAATCATTTGTTTTCATTACAAAACAGTCTCCTAAAGAGATCCGCGATAAGACGACAGTCCGTGGAAATCAATTTTTCACGGGCGAGCAGTGACCAAGGACCCAATGTATTTTAAAACATGGATCTTATTTTATACTTCCTATGAAGTAAAAGGGGTGTTGAGTCTGTTGACAAAATTGTATTTTATTTTATGGTGGATGCCAATTATGAACCGGTAGGGATCGACGTTTCTATATGGGTGTTGAAATTGAATCACTTTGTCATAAACTCAACTATGTTTTTCAGTTTGCACACACATGCCCTTTCAACAAAAGAAAAGATATAAGAAGAGAAGAAAAGAGAAGCAAACAACACGTCGATGATCGATCGGGGCAGCATACTCGGATCTACTCCGGTCCAGAGAAAAAGAAAAACGAACGCATGATCGCAGCAGCAAGCAAATCCGTACAAAGCAAAAGAACAGAGGTAGTGCGCAAAGAGGTTGGTTTGGTCGACCTGGTCGGCAGAGTTGCGGAGCAGGAAGTCCCTGTCCGCGGCGGCGAGGATGGTGGCAATGCCGCCGCCGCCGTCGTCGGTGGAGGTCGAGACCTCCGCCATCCGGTTGTGCGGGGAAGCGCTGTGACTGCGACTGCGAGTGCGAGCAAGCAGGGGGCGGAGGGAGTGGTGCGGAGTGGGGGATGAGGAGCGGAGGCGGAGGCGGAGGGAGTAGTGCGTTTGGTTGGGTCGGCGGAAGGAAAGGTGGCGCCGAACCGCCGCGGCAGCGAAGCCGTGGGTGTCGTCGTCGTCGCCGCCAGTTACGTGACCGGCCGAGAGCCGGCCGGCCAACTGCGCCTGCTTCGTCCTTAGCATGCCCGAGAATTTGGGAGATACTCCAAAGGCCTTTGGTGTTTTGGCTTGCATTATTGTCAAGCTCAAGCCCGTTTTATTATACGGCTCCTTGATTTCTTTAGAAAATCCGCGCATGGCGATCGATCACCACACCTCCCACGCGCCAATCATGTGGGAACTGAACTGGGAAGGGCATCCTGCTGCACGCCTCAATGTCAACGGCATACGCAACTTTTATTTATGTGTAAAATTCAGAGGGACTACTAGTCTATACATTTGTCCATAGATTTTGGACATGGATTTTCATCCCTCGAGAGAATATCCACTCGTTGTTTGCATGTCATCTAAATAGTTATTAAAATATAGAAAAAATAACAGGATAGATTAAAATGTAATATATCACTCCACAAACATACAAGACCAAATTCAACTTCTACAAGTTGCAACAAAAAGAACAAATTAAATTGAAAATAGTTATCGTACATTCGCAGCTATATTTAACTGAAAATAGTTATTTTTATTATAACTTGTAGAAGTTAAATTTAAACTTATATGTTCGTGGAGTAATATATTTCATATTAATCTATGTTGCCAATTTTTTTAAAATTTTTTGATGACTATTTAGGTGGCACGAAACGAGGGTATATCCCCTCTAGGGATGAAATCACTTTCCCATAAATTTTTATAAACTTGAAAGGAACTCTCTCTTTCCTTAATAAAATGCACATTTCTTTTTTTTTAATACAATCATAAAATGCATGATCATCCAGTACACAATTTTAATTTACAGAGCGCAACATATGCATCGTCGGTAGCTTGTCATGGGCGCGTGCAATTTCCTGGAAGATTATTTGGCTAAGGTTAAGGTCAAGTCTTCCTTTCTTTTATTTTGTTTGCTTCCACGATAAACGGCGCCAGGAAGGCGGTATATTCTGCATTATATGCTCGCTTACAATTTCCTGAGTTTGTGGCTGTACAATTGCTCCTATGGAGCAAGTACCAAGCTATTCTACATTACCAAGATACTACTCCCTCCGTATTTTTAACGTATAACGCCGTTGACTTTTTAACCAACGTTTGACCATTCGTCTTATTCAAATTTTTTTATACAAATATAAAAATACTTATGTCATACTTAAAGAACATTCGATGATAAATCAAGTCACAATAAAATAAATGATAATTACATAATTTTGTTAATAAGACAAAAGGTCAAACGTTTATTAAAAAGTCAACGACGTCATAAATTAAAATACGGATGGAGTACATGCATACATGTACGTGGGAGTATATTATTCAGTATATCTTATAGTACTGGTAACCACTACATCCATCCATTTAAACAGAACTTTTAGGATTACCCATATATATATTTATTCTTAAATGTTTTTTTTAACAGAGGGTGTATATATTCCATGACTCCAACAACGGGAGGCCCCTGCCACCTGCCTCCTTAGAACAAGATCAATAATGATGTCGACTGTTGGCTCCAATCTATTGTCATGCCATTTAATCGACAACTAATATATAATACGATAACTATAGGCAACACTTCATTCGTTTTAAGGGAAAATTGGTTCTGTAGTATCAAAAATTTACGACTTCGCACTCAAAGGTTGCAGTTCACTTTAATAGCATTAAAAGTTACCCTCCATTTCTCTATTTAGCATTCCATCCAAAAATCTGTTAGCTTTCATGACTTCAAAGATGGTAAAATTACCATATTCCTATGAGAAATTTCTCATAGGAATTTGGTACTTCTACGGTCATTGAGAAAGGATCTTGATATCAAAACTGCTGTAACACTAAGCAGATCAAGATACTTAATTACTACTAATCTGAAATTATCCTCGCATATGGTTTTGCACACAATAATCCAAGCTCTGGTCACAACCAATGTTGATCACCACAAATACCAATCCATTGTAAGCAACGCCATATCTATTACTCACAACATGATTCACATCCCAACATTCAGGTACGCTTCAACCGTCAGAAGATAATATAATAACCAGTGAAAGAACAACTCTCTTAGGCCTTCGGGTTTGCCCTTAACGCCGATGGCTTGGAGTGCTCCAAATCCACTTGTGAGGAGATCATGCCAGTCGTCATCATCTCTAGTGAGCAAAGGTGCAAGATTGGTGAGCCCATATGGTAGTGATTGCAATTTAAGAACGAAATTTCTGAAATTTAGTCCCCCACTGGCAACCACATATCTCATCCGAAATTTTTCCTCTTTTTTTCAAAATTTTGTGAATTAGGTCAAAACTTATTCAGATTCATTAATTTTTTTTCAAAATTTCAAATTGTTTCGGACAAAAAATAGTACCGAAATTTCAGAAATCTGTTTTTTTTTTAAAAAAAAACCTACGTGTCAGTGTCGGTCATGATCCAAACCCCTGATGAGCGATTTTGAAAGGTTGGTTGTGTTCTCTTTGCCCACTGATGGTGGATCTTCGAGGGGAAGTTGTGCTCTGCCTGCTTTGTCATGAATGCCTCATTCAGATACCCACCTTAGCTCTATCCTCTACAGCTTGCCATGGATCCATCATGTCCACTGCTATCAACATCACCTAAACTAGCATGGTGGCCCGCGCAAATTGCGCGGCTAGTATTATTATATTTTTTACACATAATAGTATATATGTTTTCTCAATGTATTATTCAAATATATTAAAATGACAATATAATTTTAAATTTTGTACTAACTTTACAAAACTACTAATGTTTAATATTCATATTGTATTTTATATACGTGTTAGTTATAAATTATTTTTAATATCAAATTTTAGTTATTTCTAAATTATATGCCTATATGGACTCTAGACTCGTCTTTCAATATTTCTTATTTTTTGGTTCCGAATTTTCGTTATCTGTAAATTGTATTTCTATATAGACTCTAGGTGCTTTTCTTCCAATATTATTTTTTTAATTCTGAATTTTTATTATTTTTAATTGTATTTCTATGTGGACTCCAAACTCATCTTTTAATATTATTTAATTTTTAATTTCGAATTTCAGTTACTTCTAAATTGTATTCCTATATTGACTTTAGACTCTTATTCCCATGTTTTTTAATTTTAAATTTTAGTTATTTATAAATTGTATTTTTATACGGACTCTAAACTCTACTTTAATTTTATTATATTTATTCCGAATTTTAGTTAGTTTTAAATTCCTATATGTACTCTATACTCTACCTCTATTATTCCTTATTTTTAATTCTGAATTTCTATTATTTATTAATTGTATTTCTATATAGACTCTAACTCTTCTTCTAATATTCTTTATTTTTAATTCCGATTTTCAGTTATTTACAAATTGTATTTCTATATGGACTCTAGTCTCCTCTTACAATGTTTCTTATTTTTTAATTCCGAATTTCAACTATTTCTAAATTGTATTTTTATATGGACTTTGTTTTCTTTTTCTCCGATTAATATAAGAATTTTTAGACCGTGAGAGCGAACGTGGAGGCTCCTTTTTCTATTTCTTTAATAAGTTAATATAGATAGATTTCTGACTGCTCTAAGATCTATTACTCACAACATGATTCAAGATACCCAATTACCAATCCGGACTCATACTTACATATGGTTTTGGTTTGCACATAATAATGAATAATCCAAAGCTCTGGTCTCAACTAATGTTCATCAACACAAATACCAATGTACCAGCAACCCCAATACCACTACTTTGTAAACAAAACCATATTTATTACTCACTACATAATTCTCTAATTTCACATCCAAACATCCAGGCACGCTTAAATCAGCAGTAGATAACCAGTGGAAGAACAAGTCTCTTTTAGGCCTTCCTGCAAACGCCTCCCTCGCATGCTGGGTCAGCCTCAGCCTCAGCCTCGTCATCGCCCTTCTTCTCCTCCTCCTTCCCCAGCGCGCACTTGGGGTGCAGGTCGAAGTCACACTCCCTGCACCTGTACGACCACGAGCTGCCCATCTCGTCGCATCCATCACAGCCATACGTGGTGCAGCGAGTCAGCACGAGCTCATGCTCATCGTGCAGCTCGTGCTTCAGCTTCCCGGGCCACCCCTTCGCCATCTCGTCGATCTTCCTCTCCATCTCCAGGAGCCTCTCCTCCGTGAACGGGAACGCGTCGGCGCCGTGGGCCGTCAGCGGGGTCTTGGCGTCCCTGGCCACCGTCCTCCCGTCGGCGCCGATGGCGACGAGCGAAGGGATCCCGCGGACTCTGAAGGTCTTGCTCAGGTGCTGCTTCCTCTCGTCACCCAGGGGAAGAGCGAGCCATGGCATGCCGGAGAAGAACTCGTCGTAGGAGCTCTGGTCTCGATCGCTGGAGATGAAGATGATCTCGAAGTCGTTGTGCTTCTCCTTGATCTTGTTGTACTCGTCGACAAGTTTAGGCAGGAAGGCTCGGCATGGTCCGCACCATTTAGCTGAGAAGTAGAGGAGGACAGTCTTCCCAACAAGTTCTGATACAGGAACCTTCGCATTGAAATAGCAGATGTTAATCTTCATCAGGTACTAATCACAAATTTAGAGGTAAACAACATGTCCAACTGTAGGCAAAAACCACTGCAAGAATATCCCAAGCTGCCAGTATAAATTAACATCTCCTTTTGGACTAGAATATTCCTTTCATACCTATATTCACCACCATGACAAATTGCGCTCTATCAAAACATAGTTGGGAAAAGGGTGATAGAGTGTGCCTGATGACTTCAAGCAACAAAATTGGATGTTTTCATATTCATTTAAACTAAGCAATGAAGGACAGTATATATTTACTCCAATGCTGTAACAAGCATAATTTGCTCGAGTTACTTCATAAAGGTATTACCTTGCATACAATTTTCCAAGTGGAAAAAAGAGAGGATATTTTAGTCTATGTAACCAAGCTTAACTAACACATACCTTTGCTCCATCTTTTCCAAGCACAAAGTCCAAATCACCAATGACCAGAAGGGACTCCAAGGTCTGTAACTCTGCTTTAGCCTTTGCCTTCTCAGCAAGAATTTCCATCTTCTCTGCAGTGAAAGGAAACCCTTCCCATGCATCTTGACCATGCTCATCAATTATGTCAGCAACATTGTTGTTCAGTGTCTTCCCATCAGGACCAATCAGGACAAGTGTAGGCAGGCCTCTAAGCTCAAAATAACGAGCCAGCTTCTCACCCATCTTGTCTTCCTGAGGGATGGCAAGCCAAGGCATGCCTGCAAAACTCTCATTGGATAATTCCTCATCACTGTCCAAGGATACAGCTACAACTTCAAATTTCTCCCCTACTTCTTTGAGTTTCTCATAAAATTTAGCAAGCAATGAGGTAAATTGGACTACTGGGCCATAGCCATTCACCACAAAGCACAAACCAACGTACTTGCCCTCAAGGTCAGAGATGGGTACCTAGGAAGAATCAACAGTAGGAAAACTGCTAAGAATGTCTGTATCTGCAAAATCATGTAAAAGGACAATACAGAATTGCCATTACCCTATCTCCCTTGTTCGAAAGTAAGTAGTCGCGGGTGGGTGTACCAAGCACACTTTGAACAGTTTGATTATCCTTAGCTGCCTTTTCCTGTTCCTTCAATTCATTGATCCTCTCTGTTGTAAAAGGGTAAGCTTCTGTACCATGCACAGTCACAAGCTCAACTCCATCTTCCGTATAAACTTCACCAGATGTTGCATTAAGGATGACGAGGTGTGGAATGCCTCTCACCTTAAAGCGCTTATTGAGTTTGGCACGGCATTCGGAGTCCGAGAAAGGGACTGCCAACCATGGCATCTTTGCAAAGTATGCATCGAATGCCTCTTGATCCTTATCCCCTGAAACAAAGACAACCTCGAAGTTCTTTCCCTGGGAGACCAGCTCATTGTATGCTTCAATAAGCTTAGGCGTGAAGCGCCTGCATGGTGGGCACCATGAGGCCGAGAAGTAGAGGGCAACGGTGCTTGCCTCGATGCTGCTGATCTTCACCTGCAGGACAATAAGGCCTTCAGGTAAGGTAACACATCTATCTACCTATCTATCTATACCTATACTAACCGTTGATTAGATTAGTCATAAAATTTGAACCGTAGATCCATTATAATTTAACGTATTGAGATAATCTTTCTTTTAGTTTTGTAATTTTGTGGGCCCATCAATCCGTAGAGACGCAGTTGTTTGGGACTTCCTGTTGATCTCATCTTATCACTACCAATAAGATCATCACCAAATCAATATCACACAAGCATGGGACGTCGGCTGTAATGGGATCGAGACGATGCTCCAGCTCTCCCCCCCACACCCCCGGCTGCTACTTCGCAAGTGTCGGTCTTGCCACAACAGATGGGATTTTGGCAATCACGCTTCAATCTGTCTCTACTTTAACATGAGGTAATCAACTTAATCAATTGTTGCTTAGTATTCTTAGTAATGCATCCATGTTAAAAAACATTAACCACTATATTTTCCATCCAAGGCACGATTTGTGAGTAGCGATATCAAAAACAACTGTAGATAGAAAACTTTTGCGCTTCTTCATTTTGATTTATATATCAAAATTCATTTGGTTTACCATTAGAAGCACTAGCTACCGTCTAATTCAGTAATTTATTTCCTTGCCGTACTTTGCATACTCTATAGATATGCACGATTAAGGCCATTAACCACCACATGCAAGATTTTCAATTATCTCTATCATTTAAATTTTCGCTTGTGTATTTTTTATAACACATTTGATAATAAGTGCTACAGTTGAAATTAACTATATATATATATGTACGAATTCATCATTCATTACTTTTGGTTTCTTAAAGACTGATAATTTCAAAATTCATAATTAATAAATATGAATCTAAATCAATCTTATGCTCTTGATATATTTTTTCATTAATTCAATCCAAAATTTAAAATTAATAGTTAGCAAGTTATATGGACTCTTCATCCGATCTAAACCGCTATTTTTGTTTTTTTAAAAAAAAACTAATGTGAACAAATTCAACAATTGGCTCTCTATATCAAGATAGATTGACCAAACATCAATTAGATTGAATATATTATGACAATACTACCTCCGTCCCAAAATAAGTGCAGCCGTGGAAATCCGTGTCCAACATTTGACCGTCTGTCTTATTTGAAAAATTTATAAAATAAATAAAATAAATTAGTCATACGTAAAGTACTATTCATGTTTTAGCTTCTAATAACGATAAAGATACTAATCATAAAAAAAATTTAAATAAGACGAATGATCAAACGTTGGATATGAACAATGCAAAAACTGCACTTATTTTGGGACGAAGGGAGTAGATCTTACATGGATTTTGTGTCAAATAAAACATACAAGTGAAAACTAATATCTTGACTCATTTTATTATTCTTTAATCTAATTCTGAATTTGAAATTATTAACTGCATGTTCTAATTGAATTGTGCAGTTTTTTCTTTGAAGAGCATATAAGCACATCTCTCTAATTGAGGCATCGGCTCTTTGTTTAATCCAAACAGTTGTAATTTAGAAAATAACCAATACGTTCAACATGTAGTTAAAGTTCAGTATTTATAATACCAATAGTAATAGCCCGTGGAACGCACGGGTCAACGTCTAGTTGAACAAATTTGGCATGACCACTATTTAGGGAAGTCCATTTTACCCCTCCAACTCTTCACTTTGTATAAACTACACCCTCTAACTTTAAGCCGAGTATTTGACACCTCAACTTTCAGTATGTTCACTTTATCCCCTTGAGCAGTTTACAGCCAGTTTACACTTACGTGGCGCTGGTGTGACAGTCCATTCAGAAGATAAAAATACAAAGAAATTAGGGCCACAAATTCAGTGCCTAGCCACCTCTTCTTCTTCAGCTCTCCCCTTTCTAAAAAATGGCGAACATTAGGGAAGGATCTAATATCAAATAATTAGGAGGGGTAAGACTTCTAACCTAGGTCGTCTAGCCCACCACCTTGTGGAGCTAGTCAGTAAGCCGGAGGACCCCTAGGTGTTTCTCATCTCTCCCCTTTCTCTCCTTCATCTTTCTCTCTCTTTCTATCCCTATGGTGTTTTCGCATAATTTGGCATATGTTATGATCTCACAGATATATTTTTTATGTGCTTAGTGGAATCGACCTATGCCACTTCCTTAACTTTGTGTGTTTGTAATGAACTCAACAGTATTTTTTTTACACCAAATCTTTTCCAACAAAAGAGAGAGAAGAGAAGAACGACTTTTCCCTTTTATTTGACTACTGTTTGTGGCAAGAAAATACTAGACCAAGTACTGGAATAGTACTATGCACTACACCAGTACACCCCCAATCCATATTGCAAGGTGTTCTATTGATCATGTTTGTAGAAAAATAATTAACATTTATGCCACCTAATAAATACATAATCGAAGACAAATTTTAGGGTGTATTTAAGAAATAATTTGTATTGTAGATATTGGTCGTGGTGGAAGTTGGAGAAGTTTAACTTAGGACAAAGTAAAACACCTTTTAGTAGTCCCTCCATCTCAATTTAAAATTCAACCCTTTAAATATTTTTTGACCAATAAATATTTTAGTTTATTATTTGATGAAAATAGTATCATTGGATTGCTATTTAAATTTATTTTTATATGATGGTGATTTTTTTTGCTACAAATATAATAGTATACAAGAAATTTAACGTCAAAAAACAGTTTTGAAGATTGTGCCAAGTTTAACTGTGCCTTATTGAGCGCGACGGAGACGGATGAGTACGATGAGTATGAAATGGAGGGAGAAAAACAAACAGTAAAGGGTTCAGCTGCCAGCTAGTACTCGAGTAGTAGTAAAAAAGCAAGTCAGAAATCACTGGTATCACCGAACTGTAAACTTTAATAAACGCAAGTTGGAATTTGTTCACCGCAACGATGTACTAGTCCTATGTCGAAGACCGACCGCGGGACTAAAAGTAATTAATTACCTTCTCATGGCTCATCTCAATTGCGCAGCACCGCACCGCAGCTCGCGTTGCTGGCAATTAGGTGCAGAGACGATCGGGGTCAAGAGAGAGAAACAAAACGCACAATCGCAGCAGGAACTAGCTAGCAAATCCGTAGACCGTAGGACCAAAAACAGAGAGGGATAGAGAGAGAGAGAGGGTGCAGGGGGCAAACAAAACCTGGTCGGCGGAGTTGCGGAGGAGGAAGTCCCTGCCGTCGGCGGCGAGGACGGTGGCGATGCCAGCGGCGTCCGCCATCCGGGAGCGTATAGTGTAGGACTAGTACTAGTAGTAGCGAGGGAGTGGGCAAGTGGTGGCCGGTCTGGTGGAGTGGAGTGGAAGGATCGGGGATCATGAGATGGGGTTTATTTATAGCCGCCGGCCGGCCGCTGGTGCGCGGAAGCGACGATGGGTTTGGGTGTCGTCGCCGTTTTTACTGCTTCTGCTTGGGCCATGTTTAGATCCCACCCTAGAAATTTTGTCACATCAAACATTTAACACCTGTGTAAAGTATTAAATATAGACTAAAAAATAATTAATTGCACATATTACGATTAATTTGCGAGATGAATATTTTAAGCCTAATTGTCTATGATTTGACATTGTGGTGTTATAGTAACCATTTGCTAATGCCAGATTAATTAGGCTTAATAAATTTGTTTTATGATTTATTGACGGATTATGTGATTAGTATTTTTATTAGTGCTTGAATACTCTATACGACCCCCTATATAATACCCGATGTAACACGACAAAACTTTACACCCTGATATAAGCACCCCCTTGCTTAGCATGCAAGATTGCTAGCTACCCAGCATATCATTATTAATTTAACTTCTAACGTTTCTTTTCTTAGGGCATGTTTGAATAATTTGCTGTGGCAAATTTTTTTTTGACAAAAGTTTTAGTGGCAAAAGATTTGGCATTGAAGTTTTCTTAGTTGGTGTTTAAATGTATGGTAAAGTTTTACCATTTTACTAGTAAAGACAGAGAGAGCACAGCTCCCAACATACTTTTTAGCAAAATTTGCTAGTCTAGACTCCTAAATGACAAATGCTGAATTGTCAACTTTTACTACTAGTGTTTAGATCCATTTTAGCAAAAAAATGCTCCAAAACAGCAAAACTTTTACCATTTTGGAGCATAAGTAGTTACACTAGAGCAAATATGAGCAGATGCAAGATAGGCATATCAGTTCAGATTTGAATTTTATTTATTATTTAAACCATTTTAGATATGAGCAGTTTGAACAAGGGCAGGATGAATGATGGGTTATATGAATTTGTGATAATATAAAAGGGTATGAATGAATGAATTAAGAGAATATTGGTCGTGTATCCTTGAGTACTTGCCATAGAGTTTATATGCCCTTGTGTTTGTCTTAACCACTGCATGCTCATGAGTTCTTATTTTGATTCTCTATACACATTTAAGAACTTTTCTTAAAATAAAAATATTTCCCCTCCATTGAACAGAAGAGCTAGCTTAAAAGCACAATTCTCAAAAGTAAAAATAACTTCACATCCAAAATATTGCAGAGGACAGAATATTTAACCGCAAATTGAAAAAAAAAATCTCACAAAACTACACAGTTTGATAAATCTATTGCAAAGCTACATATTTAATTGCGTGTATCTCAAATTATAGATTTAGAATTTTTTTTATGAAACTACAAACCTAAAGCATCACACCATAATATTACTGATATAACATCAATTGTATTACAAACCTATACCTTCCATGACTTTAAACCATTAAAAAAAACTATAGTGCTATGGATTGAGACTCTGAAATATGTCACTAAATCTATATAAATTTATATAGTTTTATGATACGACGTCTTATATCCGGTGTTAAATTTACGGTTCTATTATAGTTTGATTAGTTACGTTAATTTTCGGAAGGACTACATTACAAGGTCAGCCAAGTCTTCCTTGGCCTTTTAGCTACATCCACTCCACTCATTATTAGTTCTTAAAAGGAAAAAAAAAAACATACACTCGTTTGTAAACGATAAAACGACGCCAGGACCGGACGACTCCGGGGAATATGATGATGCGATTCCTAGTCATCAGCGTCGGACTTTTGCGCTGGCCGGCCGCCTGACGTGAACGCGGCCACGTCGTTTTGTTTTGTTTTCATCTATATCTATAATATAGCTAGCTAGCACGAGCAAATTAATCTTCATCTTCGCATATAAGTATTGACCAACCAGCTTAATAAAGTTGGGATTGGTCAAGGAATAGTGTATATGTCATTCTTTGTACAAGTACGTACACGTATGATCAACGACAGTTTCGATTCATTTATTTTTTATTTGAGAGAGCATGAATATAATAGCTTAGTATATCCTATCAAGGACGGTTGATTTTACATATTGGCACGTTCAATACTACCTCCGTTCCAAAATATAAATGATTTTAACCAAACTCATCCTTCTTCGACACCGGTAATCTTGCTACCTGTCTTTTTTTTTTATAATCATCGGATCGCTCCAGTTACACTTCCCAGTGCAGTTTCTAATTAAACAAACACGCGAAATACACGTATATCAAGAAATTATAGATCTTCCTAGATATAAATTTATTCCGATAATGGAAACAAGAAAAGACAATGTGTTTATTACTAGGAGCATACATTATATAAATACTACCTCCGTTTCAGGTTATAAGACTTTCTAGCATTACTCATATTCATATAAATGTTAATGAATCTAGGCGCACATATATATCTAGATTCACTAACATATATATGAATATGGAAAATGCTAGAAAGTCTTATAACATGAAACGGAGGAAGTATATAACATATAAAGGACATACTTATAATCTTATGGACTTATAGAGATTATGCGTATCACTGTTCCTAAATTACAATGTATTTAGAAGTTTCACTACTACAGAAATACAAAGGATACGATACTATAGGTGTCGAAATAGCTAAACCCGACACATATAGTGCTTTTCCCACCTCAGACGCACTCCCGCGAAGTACCGTTAGCTAGAACCGACACCTTCGTGAATAAATAGGTGCCGGTTCTAGAGAAAAACTGACCAATAATATATATAGGTGCCGAGGTTTTTACAGAACCGACATTTTTAATTTATTATAGGTGTTGTTTTTTTTAAAAAAAAACCAACGCCTTTAATTTACTATAGGTGCCCGTAATAACTAAGCCAAGCCGGTTGGCCACTTGCGAGCGATAAGTAGAGGGAGGCCAGCCACTTGTGACCCTTATCCTCTTGTCTCCCCTGTCTCTCTCTCTCTCCACTCGCCTCCCGGCCATAGAGGAGGCGAAGCGGCTGGACTGATCTGCGGCGACGGAGGAGGTGGAGAGCGGATCCAGCGGTGACGGTAGCTTCCCGCGTCGGATTCGGCGGCGACCACAGCAGATCCTCGGGCCACGCTGCTGCCGATGGATCCCTCAAGTCCCCTGGCTTGGTGGTGCCCGCATCGCCGCAGCCCGCGCCTCGTCAGGGCGGCATCCGGTGTCATGACCTCGCCCCACCCCGACATCGTCTGCTCCTGCTAGGACTGATGGGGCTTCATCTGGCTCTGGTTCCGGATCATCCTAGGAAGAGGAAGGGGAGGGCCCAAGCTGTTCTCGTCCCTGTTGCTTCTCCGACCAGTGGTTGTTGGTTGGGTCGATGAAGCCAGTGGCCGAGAAGGATGTTCTTAGATGTTTGTTCAACCTGTTTATGTATTCTTGGATGTTCTTGATGTTTCCAGATACCGATTAATATTGATGGAATATAGTTGGGGTGAAGGGAAGTTGCTCGATGAAATCGAGCCACCTTTTTTAAGTTCCTGTAACCTCAATAGTGCCGGTTCCTAGACCACCTCAAAGGTGTCGTCTACTGGTGCCTGTTGTAAAATCCGGCACCCATGAGGGTTTCCCAACCGACATATATAGTTATTTCTGTATCAGTGTTTCTATATCTGCATTGCTTGGATAACTTGTATAAAACTATAATGGCTTTAATATATAATTTTTTAACTTATGTTTATAAACAATTTATAATCTATCAATCATCCATAAAGAATAGAGCCTGATAAGTGATGACTAGTGTGAACTGTTTAGTAAGTATTTGAGGGAGGGGGAAGAGTTTTAAAAAATAAAAAAAAAAGAACCGCTTGTCTGAAATCGTTGACTGTTTCGGTGATCGATTTTGTCTGGTGCCTGCAGAGAGTAGTGACGGAGTACCAAGACTGCATCAGTGACTAATAAAAAGCAGATTCCGATAATTACGAGAATTTCTTGCTTGATGTGAAAGATGGCATCACCGCCCATCGTTTTCGTTAGCGTCATAGCATTGACGTCACGCAGTGTGATGCTACGAGTGGCCTTCGTTTACTCTAATACAAGACGCAAACAATCCAAAACCAACCACTGACATTATTTCTAATTGGAAGACGAAACCAACGCTACCTGAAGTGGGACATTACATAACCACAAGTTGAACATTTTTCGGTTCACAGGTAATCATGAAAAGAAAACAACTCAAGTGTTAAGTAGATCTAGCAACCTCATCTTTGTGCGCATGTGGGTCCTGACGATATTTCATCGTAAAAAAACATGCTATTATGTACATCATCACTACCAGCGTAGGCAAATCGTGATCAAAATCCAGTTTGCTTTATTTAACTTGGAATGCACTAACAGCTGAATCGAAAAAGCGATATATATTGGAAATGTCGAGAATGAAAAGTATCAAACGCACGCTTATGCACTTCATTTCTTGAAAAGTCTGTTCAGGACACCCTGTAGGGAGCCCCCCATGCCTGCACCGACGGCTTCTGCTAGATACGCGGCCTGCAACACAGGATCGCTTCGGGTCAGCAGGTTGATAACGTAGAATGAGATGATGAGGTCTAAAATAGCATACGACTTGAGCATGATGTGCTTAATACCTCCTGAAAAGTTTTCTGAAGATCAAGAGCATCCTTGATACGGCGGCTCACAAATGTCCATGTATCGCGGAAATCTGTCAAGCGTTGACAGGAAAGAGGAAACGGTCAACAGAAGTATATATCGAATGCCGTTTGAAGAAAATGTGAACGTGGTATCGTTCTCTATGATGTTCAGAGGCAGGAAAAAAGGAAGACGTTCACTCAACAGGTATATGCTATCAGGAACGAGGATGCGTGTAACAGACCACATTAGTTACAGATAATACACTTTCCTTATCATTGCCCTTAAGTTTCTCATCCTGCTTTCAGCTTTTAGATACTGAAGGGCACAGAGGCCCATATTTCTACCAAAAAGGATGAAATGCCTTACAGAACCACATATATATCTACATAAGGATCTATAAGGGTCCCAGATATTTACTGATTCCATTTTGTTACGTTATGTGTACACATTACCATGTTGAGTTCTGAACTTCCAAAACAACTATCTTTAAGACGGTGGAAGGAACAAATAGAAAAGGTTTTTAAAATATATATATCAACCCCTGTTCACTATGATTTATTTAAACAGAAAACTAAAGCTGGTACATTATCTGCATTTAGAGCCATTTACAGTTTAAATTGAGATTCAGGCAATGGAACATTTTCTGTTGTAATACTCGCTGTCTAAGTATTCCAAAAGGACGCTTTATTAAAACTGGTTTTAAACATTAAGCATAAAAGGAATCGGAATTGAACTATCAAGCTTAGGAAAGCCAACCTGGAGAATTGTCAGTTAACATATACACCTCTGAGGTAGAGTAGATACCACCAAGCACAGTACGCTTCACATACCAATCAATATCTGATCCAGCATCTCCAGCAGCATGCCAAATCTCATCAACAAGGACAGCTCTCTGCTTTAAACTTGTTGAAATGTTTGCTGGTTGGGACTGTCAAACAGAAAAATAAAGTTAAGACATACAAGGATCAGATGATTTAGTTAAATGCAAAGGAAAATAAGAGGTGGTGATAATGGAGTACTTGGATACTGAGAGCTTGAGGCCACTTTGATATATAAGGTCCCTGCATTTCCAGCCTCATTCGGACAAGTTTGGAAAGTCTCTCACTCAGTACCAAGTTCTTCAACAGCTCTCCCTCTCCAGCATCAATGCGATCAATGAGTTGTTGAAGGCAGTCATCCATGAAAAACTGCACATAAGTAAACAGAACGGTCAGAGTAGGCTCATTGAGGCTTTGTTTCATAGTATACACTGTTAACGTGCAAAAGATTACTACTTCTATTTTTATGTCATGAGTCTGCTACACTGTCACTGTTTTTCAGAAGGTTTTGGAACATCCCAAAACATATTGTAGGCTAAGTAAACTAAGACATCTCCCTAGAATTCCTATCGAGTATTTTAGTTCAATTACCTGGCAGACCTGTTTAAGTTAAGAGGTCATACTATGTTTGAACGTGGGAAGAAGCCATAATAGAAGGCGCAATCATGAAAATTTGTTTTGGGCACCAAATCACCATTACAAAAAAAGGAGAGAAAAACTAGATGAACTCAAATTACTTCATCTATTTTGCAACATTGATAGTAATAAAAATGAAAAAATAAGGATAAATATAATTCGAACATTCTTAGTATTGATAGGAAACCTGTCTACTTTGTTTCTTCAAGATAACAGCAAGGGCTTCACTAGAGAGTCACAAACAATGCATAAATAAATTTACAGCCAAATACTGTCACAACTCTTAAACAGGAGACTTTGTAATGTACCCTCAGATTTATTTTTAAGTATTTCAACTCTAGAAACGTTTGGTAGCTGTAATTAACCCAACCCTACTGCTTGTCACTCAAACCAGTCAAAGTATTGTGGATTAACCATTAGCCACTAACAATGCAACATGTGATTCGTTTTCCTTCTTGCTGAGTTCCTTCATATTCTGTGGCTACTCCCACAAATTGTCTATCCTTTTCCCTCTTCTTTGTTGCCCTCTTTCAAAGAGCATCTATTTTTAAAAAATTGATGAGTAGCACCCTATGTTGCCCAGACATGCACATACAGAAAAGGATGCACAACTATGTTTTCTCCGGGAATGCGCAGAAGACTTGGCAGGGCATCCATCTATCTATTATATTATGAAGATAACTCTAAAAAGAGGCACCACATTTGCTCTGGAGGCCTAGAAATTACCACATTAATCAGAGAGAAAAATCTATGCCATTAGATCATGGTGGGACCAAGTTATAACAGTGTAGATTGGTAGCAATAGTTGTATACAATGTATGCCTAGAGATTACCATATTAATCGGAGAAAAAGTATAAAATCTATGCCATTAGATCGTGGTGGGACCAAATTATAACGGTGTAAATTGGTAGTAATAGCTGTACAGAAAGTACAATTGTATCTATAGAAAGAGAAGAGAAGAGTTGTATAAGTCCAATTTGAGTATCCGACTTCTAATATCTGGTGTGTACAAAATATAGTTAAATCCAATTCAATTCAACTAGTCCACGCAAAATTTCGTGGGGATATCCCCTAGTTAAGATTAAGAGAAAGTTAACAAATAAACATCGACCTTACTGCACAAACGGAAGCACTTAATTCTCACAGAAACATTTCACAATCTGAACTCTTATCTAAGAAGTCAGATTAACAATCTAGGCTGTTTCGCTCAAGCATAGCAGCTGGTGACGATTCACAATTGATGAGGATGAGAAGAATTGTAGCAAGTTTGTCATGGCCAGCTGTGACAACAACCAGGTTTTCAAATTAAACAGTTACATTCATAGTGATTGAAAATATACAACTAGAATTATGAATTCTTGAAGGAAGATGCAGCACTATTGGCTGAGCAAGGGGCATCCCTATGTAATTTGTGATGTTTTCCATGGTGAAGCAGGAAAGGTGTCAGAGCCAGAGGAATAGTGTTTATTTAAGGATCAAGGAGTCTTCTGGGAAAAAAAAACATGTTTTCCTCTACAGTGTTTCTCAAAACTGAGCTGCTGACCATTAAACAACTTAGCATAGTATAATCATGCAACTCAGTTTTTTTGAGGTACCCAATCAACATGTCATAGTCCAGGAAAATGTACTGACAAGTATACTCTCTGTCACCTATGTATAAATTTCAAGTTCGTGGAATTAAGAGTAACAAGTAAAATAAATCAAGGTTATTAAGTAAATCCTATTGTTCCTGTATTTTTGTTTTCTTCAAAGGCACTTTGAGTTCGCAGCTGAAATTTTGAAGTGCCAGATTTCCATAGCCTATATCATTGATTCTTATGTGAGCTTTTCAGATTGATTTGGTACCCCCAACTGAAACAGGGTTGAATGATAGCATCATAATGATGGGTTGCATCTGGTATGCTCCCAGCTCTTGGTTCCATAAGTTCCACTTCCCTCATCCTAAGACATACCAAATCTCATCTTACTATAAAGTAACCCATCCCTCATTATAGTTGACTAACAGATATTGCCCTATGGGACTGGCATCATAGTTGACTAACCCATCCCTCACTTCCCTCATTAATGGGACCCCGCACTTCCCTCATTATAGCTGACTAACAGATATTGCCCTATGGGACTGGCATCCACCATACTGACCCAGCTACAGCATGAGACAGAATGAAAACATCTGCATGCCAATGCTTTCATGAAACAATGCTCACTAGTAACCAAATATGAAACATAACACAATATAATAGCACTATTGCCGAAAAAGATCCATGGTTTGTGCATATGGAGAAATGGGTTACATTGCTTGTATTTCATCAATATTTCCCCAGATTTTACCTGCTATGATGGTCATGCATTTATAACAATTCAATAAAATTGTCACTCAGAAAACATTGAACTGTTCATAACTTCACATAAAATGAGCACTTTAGTAGGAGAGGCCAATATTTAATTTGTAGTGATACCAAGTCAATACCAAAAGTGTAAAGAAAAATCAATGCTTCAATTAGAAGTTGAAACTAGAAACTGGGGGAAATGCAGTTTTCTTTTGTAGAACACAAAGCATGTATATTCAACAATAAAAATGTGCAATTTAAGTGCACAGGACCCCTACTACCAAATTTAGATAGGGATTTGTCTATGTATTCCCGAAATACATGTCACTATACTTCCAAGCAAAAACAACACCACAACATTCCCAAACCTAAAGTGGGTCTGGATATCAAGCAGGTCTGACTTTTATGATCACCTTATTTACAATTGATTAGCATTTTCAGAATCAAGATATGAACGTAATTAAGTTTAATCCAAAATCTATTCATTTCAGTCATGAACCAACTTTAAGAATAATCTAAGATATTCTCAACAGATACCACAAGCCCTATTATGAATGTGAAATAATCCATATATCACAGTTATAACACTCTAGTAGCTTCTAGGTACAAATTATTCATGCTTTTATCCATGTAGTACAACAACGCTTGCCTGGAAGGTTTATCTACATTCTACAACTACAAGTGCTAATATCAGTTCACAAAATAGAAGTCGTGAATCACATCACAAACTTGAAGCACTCATGTTCATCACGAGCATCATCCATTAGGTGCACAACAATTATCATACCAATGAGGCAATGACTGACAGCATTCGTTGTGTTAGCTACCTATAGGTTCTGATCCAAATTCAATAGATGCATATCCAAATCATCATACCTCGAGTACACTATCACTATGTCCCCTCCTTACCTCTCCAGTACAATGTACTAGCATCCCAGAATATTCTTTTCTTGCCAAGAACATTGCGAATCACCACCGATTGAAAAAGATACACAAGATAGTCCCACCACCGTAAGCAAAGTTACCTCAACGAGCGCAGCCTCCTTCCTCGGGAAAGCACCGACGATGGCCGGCGACACGCCCACGTCCCTCGCCCCGGCGATCATGGCTGACTCGCTCCACCCCATCCTTGGCTACAACGCACAACCAAACCATCAACCAGACGTTCAGAAAATTACTCACTACGCTGCTAGATAGGCGGAAATGGAAGCAGATCTCGAGGGAGCCCGAAACGATACCACGTGGAGCAGCGACGCGCGGAGCACTTTCTCCTGCTCCTCCTCGTAGCCCGTGCCGCCGGCGCGGCGAGCCCCCGCCGAGGCCCCCGGCGCCGACCGATGGGCTCCTCCGGCGCCGGCGGAAGACGAGGCGGAAGAGGAGGAGGCGCCCTCCGACTTGGGCGGCTCGACGGTGGGCTCCAGAGGCGGCGGCGGGAGTGGTGGCGTCGGCGGCGTCGGTGGCGGCGTCGAGGCTTCCGCAGAGAAGAAGCGGCGCAGAGCAGCGGGGGCAGCGCGCGGGGTCGCGGACGAGGCGCAGGGGACGAGGCGGCGGGACGCGGCGGCGGCGGAGCGGGAGAGGAGGCGGCGCGCGGCGAGGGAGGAGGCCATCGTGGGGGTGCAGCGGAGCGGCGAAGTGCGCGTGCGCCTCACCTGCTCGAAGAAATGGCGAGGCGGTGGCGAGGGGGGGGGGAGGGGGGGTGAGGAGTGAGGAGGACTAGAGGTGGCGGCGAGATCGGATCGTCCGCCGCAGGTTGGGCCCACGGAGCGGACGACGGAGATTCGCTCGCCGCTGGGAAGGAGACCTGGGGACCCCTCGCGTGCCACGTATAGGCCTTCATCGCCCCAACACGTGTACATATGACTCACTCCACCCCCAGACCAACCTGCACTGGGGCCCTGCTTCGTTTTAGGCTGGTAATATTTGGTTAGCTCAAATTTATTTACACCAGTGAAATTACAACCACTGGATGAGAGTTCGTTCAGATAATAAAGCAAGATTACTGCCAATATTTCATCATGTTGATTGATGAACTAAGAAGAACAAGGAAAAGCGATGACCGATCTTAAATCCATGTGAGATGAGAAACAAGATATTGACAATTCTTCGAAGAGACTATTCGTCTACTTAACAGCCTACTGTGGCTACACGGAATGAACTAAACCTAATATGCAAGCAGCGTTGTATCAAAGCCGTACAGAGTCAAAATGTAATAGAAATTGTTGGTGATCAAAAAGAGACTACAACAACGTAAATCATGAGGTGCGACACGACGAGGCAAGAGGACAACTGTGAGCAAGTAAAGCAAGAGGATGGCAACAATGCATTGGCACTAGTGCCGTTTCAACTTACTGCAGCGATGCCTATGGACACCACTTATATCTTCCTGTAGGCAGTGGCACGACACTCCTTCTCTCTACCTTGCCTTGGCCTTCAGGTGGAATCTCCAGATGAAAACCTTATTCCGGATGACCATAATAGAGATGGTGACATTTTAAATGTCATGACCTTCTTAAGGGCATCACATTGGATGTTTCTTGTTGGTGCGACGTCCTTGTGGTTGTCTCCTTATTGGTAAGGTGTTCTTGTGGTGATGTCTTTGTTAGATCGGGTTAGCTGGTAATGGCGGTGGCATGACCTGGTAATAGCTGGTAATGACTTATTTATAGCTCAGTTATTCTCCGATGTTGTCTTCATTTTGGCTCAACATAAGTTGTCCACGGTGATGAGAGTGAATTCGATCAATACAAGAAACCTGCACGAATTTGAAAATTTCCGCTTTTCTGGTTTGAGGAAGATAATGACTACATACAATTCTTATAACTTGTTAAAAAACCGACAATTATACATAATCTAGCCAATTGTAGATGGGAGTATATGTCTTAATGATGGTGCTATAAATAGTTTTGTTGTTTTTAATCGAGTTATAATTTTGTATCTCTGAGTCATTCATTCTAGCATCTTTTGTGAATTGGTTGTAAATTTTTTAAAGCAAAAAAACTAGAATAAATTTTATTATCTAATAAAAAATTGTGAGGTATCAAGCATCAAAACTTCATAACATGCTGGCCTACACGACAGTGTAGGCAACAGCCTCTTTGGGGTTGAAACATTTCATTGGTCTCCTTGCCACAAATGCAGTCCTTGTGAAGGGAATTTTAACCTATGTTCTTCCCCCACCTTTCCCGACTTACCTCCCTCGTTTTCCGCGCGTATGTTTCCCAAACTACTAAACGATGCGTATTTTAAAAAAAAATTCTATAGGAATGTTGCTTTAAAAAATCATAATAATCCATTTTTCAAATTTATTTTAGCTAATACTTAATAAATTATGCACTAACATTCGTTCCGTTTTGTATGTTGGGAATGAGGTTCCTAACCCTCGCTCCCCAACTCAACCTTAGGCTATGTTCCAATGTCATGGTTCCCAACTCCCCCTCGTTTTCTGCGCATACGCTTTTCAAACTGTTAAATGGTGTGTTTTTTATTAAAAGTTTGTATACGAAAGTTGCTTAAAAAATTCATATTGATCCATTTTTAAAAAAAACAAATAATTAATTAATCACGCACTAATGGATTGCTCCGTTTTCCGTGCAGGAGGGAAGTGTACCCAACCTAGACAAACGAACATAGCCTAAAGTGTTGCTATCAATGAGCTCTATTGGTGCCTAAAAAGCAAAGTCAAAGCCAAAATTTGAATTTTCTAACTTAATTTTTAAGTTGTTTCTAACATATTTTAAACATAATTTCTTTTTTAACATTAACTTTTAAGTCGTTAAAACACATATATAAAAGGTTTACATACAAATTATTTTCATTATTTTCCGATCGCTTACGGTCCGAGGCCGATACCTGGAGGTTGCTATTGAGTTTCTCAACCGTTTGTGAAGTCGAGCCATTGAACAACACTACTTTGAGAGCTGTGTGTGGCTAGCTCATTCAAGGGATATACAGAGAAGTTACTAAAAAATGGCTCAATAGTTTGTAGGCATTAAAATGTGTGATAAGTTTTTTTTTAAAAAAAAAATCTCGTCTTTCCTGACATTGGCTAGTCAGAGAAACATTGGCAATGGTAAAACTCGTCTTTCCTAGGCACAGGCACTCTTACAGGCTTGGTAAGTAAGAACTGAAAAGGCATCCATCTACACAATAATACAATGAGCAAAAATATCTCTTTGAAAAAATAGTTCAATTCCCTACAAGCGCATCAACCACTGTAAGGAAATGTCCAAATCTGAACCTCTAAACTAATTTACAACATTATAGGAACATTGGCTGAAGTTCTCGGAAGAAAAACTAGCAATGGCTGAAATTGAAGTTAACCTCACTAAATGATGCCATTCAATTATCTGCATGCTTCTGCCTTGAGGATTTCTGGCCCTGAACAAAGTGCGTAACAACCGAGCATGCATTACCCACCAAATCATCGATGGTGTCCTCCCATTTCTCATAGGCTTTGAAGCCTAGGAAAGCCATAGAAATACCTATTCTCCCCATCAGATAGTTCATCATCAGTCATGTGCTCATGCTCCTTGTTTTGCAGGATTCAAAAAGAGAAGCATGGTATTTAAAATTACCTATTTTAAATGCAGATTGCGAAGACATGGAACTAAGGATGCTCACAACCAATAGGGAGAATACCACCTGGCAAGAACAAGCAGTTAGAGACTGGACACAAAAATACATCACTTTTGTCCTCAGAAATTTATAATTATAAAACTAATTTAGTCATGTAGACATATCACATAGGTGCCATGCCTTGAAAAATAGTGGCCAATCATTTCCTCTGCATAAAGATTTTAGCACACCAACTAAAGAGTTCCATGTTGAGCTGACTGAATGAGCAATATGATGCGCCTCCACCTGTGTGATGTGAAAATTTGAAGGCTCGAGCTTCTCAACCTTGTGTCCAAACCTGCATAAGTATTATTCAACAATCACTATCTGGAAACAGAAGATGGATAAAAGCCTAGATGGTGTTTCACCAGCTGATAATAGGCATATTCAGTTAAAGGGAAAATGACAGAGGACCATACACATTTGCAGGCAGAATCCCATGAATGAATAAAAACAGTGCGGTTAGTGAGAAAAGCTTTGCCATTGCTGTAATGAAGGTGTAACCACATGTAAATAAATGATAGTAGATAACAGCCAGTAGCAGTAGTACAGTCATTGTTTGCTTCATGTCTTCCCAGAGAACTGTCTTCGCAACTGCAGCCAAGATCAATATTCATTATAATCTCAAGAAGGGTGTGAAGGCATGGGCATGCATGCATGTGTGTGTGAGAGATATTCATACGATTTCCATTGCCAAGGAAAATTGAGGCTTTTGATATGCTCCTTTGATTTTGTGCTTGCAGATGGGGATATGACTCTATTGTTCTCTTAAGTCCATCCTGAATTTTAGAATTGGTCAGTTGCATGTGTGAGAACCTTCAAGAAGGGAAGTAGGTATGGACTATCTAGAGTTATTGAGTAGGTATAAACCACCACAGTACCACACACACAAATATATCAAGAGCTATTACTAATCACATTATGAATCACAGATAAACACCTTGAGTGACACAATGGGTTCATAACCAAGCTGATCTTTTGCTCTTGAGCAGCTGAATGTTCTATTGCAAGACAGGAGCCGGATCCTTGAAGGAGTAAGCTGAGGAATTTTCATTCCATAGCGAGCGAACGTCTTATAAGTCCATTCTACCATATGAGCCACTGGCATCATAACAGAAACTGGTATTTTTATTGAAGGCCTGCCACAAAGTTCTAATGCATTAGTACAATGGTAATTGATAAACTCATATATGTATAAGATGTATCCTTCACTGTCCATCCTCAAACTCATCCTGCAGGGACATAGATACAATAGCAGAAGACCAAATCTACTCCAGCAGATACTACTGAGAGCTGTAACACTCGGTTTGATATCAGTAGCACATGTAATCAGGAGATCCAGCTAAGCTAAATTATCAATTAAATGAACTGTAATGATTCCGCTCCTCATCCCTTAAGATATTAATATTTTGGTACACAGTTAAAATGCTCTCCAGAAAACTAATGACATAACCAACAGAAATCATCTCAGTAGGCTATCAAACTTATATAATAATTATTTTTCAAAAAAGTGCAATTATTTCCATCAAAAATACCAGCTTGCTGATACTATACTAGGAGTTCGAGAAAAATACAATGTTAGTGAATGATTTATCAGAACACTGCAACTCCATAAGACAGGTCCATCCTTCACGAGCATGGTGCCAAACTGTAATGGGCATTGGGCCGGAACTCCTAGGCCCAATTGGAACCCCTTGCGGTAAGTACGTAGTTTAGTTGGATAGGATTGAGGAGCTCAGTTGTAGCTCAGTTGGATAGAGTCTGTTAGGATAGGGATTAGATTAGGAATTCCTCTCCATCTATATAAGGAGGGACCTAGCCTGGATCAGGATAGGCATTAGATCAAGATTTATCTTAGTGCCCATCGGCCCTGCCTTCTCAGTGCGACAGAGAGCATCGCGCTGTTTAGGTTCAGGGCCATTCCTTGTTATTTCCTCTATTATGATCCAGTTTATTCCCCTTCATCCCGTTTCATCCCAAATAATTCTAGCACGTGACACAAACTCAGACCATCAAAACACCCCCTTTAATGGTGTAAAGGTGAACACTGCATTAGTGTATTAAAGGGGGACACAGCCTGCCAAACTGCCCGAGTAGTAAAGAAGCTGTCATGTTCTATTGTCATACCTTGATGAAGTTGTAGAAAACTGAAAGTTTTGACATAACCTCTAAAACTACAAAGCATAATTCAGTGAATGTCCACAATGCACTATTTCCTTTTATCTGAAAAAAAGCACCTTTGGAGGAGATTATCAGATTATAGTAATCTGGGTTCTAGATTATAATAATCTATCTGTTTGTTTCATATTACTGCTAATAATCTGGATTATAATAATCTTAAGCTAAATCAAACAGGGCCTAATTATGGTACAGCATACTGAGACACTATCAATGATGTTCCTCAGAAAATAAATCTAAGCATGTAGAAGACCATTTGTATTTTCAAATCAATACCTTTCATATCCGAGTCCTTCCAAAATCAACGACATGAACTCCCAGAATTTTATAGCCTCCATATTTGTTATGAAATAGGTCTAGAAACAAATAAAAAACAATAATATTATGGACTCCTGGTTGTTAAAAAGTGAAATGCAAAGAAGGGACCATACTTTTCCAGCAGCTCTCTTTGCACCATCTTCAGATGATAGAGTTTTCTCTGCACAAACATGGCCATATGCCACATTCTCCACATAGGTGAAATCATAGTAGTTGCTCCCATCACCAATAATGTACTAGCGATGAAATTTTGGAACAAGCATAAAAAAGTAATTCAAGTGTTAGTTTGTTCAATATTATTTTTGCTACTTATAAATAGCATTCTGATCCTACAATATTGAAATAGTCCATATCAACATGTGAACATGGACAACGAGAAATGAAATCAAACCTAGCATACCAATGTTTACAGACATGCAAGCCATTCTTACCTTAGACTTTCCTGCCCTTGCAGCAGTAACCAGAGAAGGAACCAGTAGCTTATCACCAGGGCCAAAAATGCTACTTGGGCGTATACAACAAGTAAGAAGCCCATCCCTACCATTAGCCTTCATGACCAACTTTTCTGCATCTGCCTTTGTTTCTGAATATGAATCATTAAACTGAAGTAAGAAAAGCTCTTGTTAGGAAATATGGGATAAAGATGAAGCAATGACAAATCACAAGAATGTAATCCATGAAAAATAGGAAGACCTTGTCTGGGTAAGGCATTGATTCATCTGCATCAAAGATTCCATGAATTCCATCGAAAACTACACTTGGTGAACTGGTGTAGATAAGTCTCTTCACCTTGCAACGGATGCAAGCGTCAATGACATTCTTTGTTCCTGTGAAATGCATTGTACAAGTCTCACATAGACAAACTTTAATGCAGTACTATATCATTGAAAATGATTAGAAAAAATAATCCAAAATTAATGTTACTAATATTGAAAAAAATTGATATTTATTGAAAATGATTATTAATGATTAGAAAATGATTTACCACACCATGTCTCACTGACATGTGTATCCTGGTCCCACATGTCAGTGTCACATGAGTGGCAAATCCTCCATGTTATAGATATTTATTGAAAATAAAAATAACTGGATCGATATCTCATAAACAACAATCTGTACAATGATAATTAAGAACCAAAGCTGCATGGCATACAAGTTAGAAGTACCAACCCTCAACATTAACTGAATAATGAAGGTGAAAGTTGTTGATAGACGAATCTGGTGCAGCCATGTGGAAAACAACATCAGCCCCCTCAAAAGCTGCACATTAAGAATATATATGCATTGGACATCAAACAATGAAATTGAGTAATGTCACACTATTTTATTCGGCTCTAAAGAATAAAGTAGTGAGTCAATGTGTGTTTTGGAGGTTATGTCAATACACAAAACATCAATTTTCCTTTAGTGGCCAGAGGTAGTAACTTAAAAAACACAAGTATCAGGATGACAGAACCTAGTGGAAAGACCGCAGGAAATTAACAAACTAGATAACTATAAAATTGTAAGTAACAGAAGATGTGTGAAAGTAAATCAACAGACAAGTTACAGGAGTCCCCAATACATATTATCTCCCCCCCCCCTCAGATATGCAGCATAATATGAGACTTTTTTTCCCTAGCCATTTCAAGGAAATGAATAAATGTCAGCTGACCAAGCCCCTCTAGGACAATCGCAGTTCTAGTTACACAGTAAGAAACATTAAGTAGGCAGCAGAAACTCCATAATTAGGCTCAGTTTGTGCTTGCTACGCTGTGCTGTGCTGCGTTGTACTTATGTTCTAAGTTGCTACAAAAATTAAAACTTGAAATGTTTATACTTCATTATACAGATCAAATTAAGGTTATAGAAAACATGTTATCTAACTCATGTCTCTCCCAATTATTTCACATTTTTGGAACATGACAGTATTATTGTTTGCCAAACACCAAACTGTCTAAAAGCTATTGCACCAAACGAGATTATCATAATCCATCGCAATGCAAACAGACCTTAATTGCTGGTCTGGTACCACCACTTCTTGAATCCATATCAGGAGAGACCCTCATTGGAACAACTATTTAATTAGTTCCAGTCAGTGTGCCATTGCAACAAATACAATGTCAAGCTAATAGAGTGCATTGGCAACAATGACACTAACATCATGTACTTTCAATATAGGTATGATGAAACTAGGATCAGTCCCAGCATACCAACACATCGAACTGAATGGATATTTCGACAAAATGAATTCGGGCTCGATCTGGATTGCCAACTAAATCACGCTGGCCATGTCTAGCCGATACGCTCGTGTGACACGCCGTACTCTGACCTTTTACCCCAGTAAGTACGAATCAAACACATCACCAACCACAACCAAAAACCTACCCGCGCAGCGATCTGGGGGAAGCGAAAACGGGGAGATGACACGCACCTGCGGCCACCTGGGCCTTGTTGCGGAGGTCCGCGGAGGCGTAGGCAGCCCGGCCCTCCCGCAGGGCGGCGCCTAGGATCCCCTCCTCCTCGTCGCGGTCGAGCGCGATGGCGGGGGGCAGGTCGGCCACGCGCACCAGCCACTCGCCGGAGCGTAGCAGCATCGCCACCAGGTGCCTCGCCGCGAAGCCGCGGCCGCCCGTCACCACGCACCATCTCCCGTCGCCGCCTCCCGCCGCCGCCGCCGCCATCTCGCCGCTCGCCGTCGTCGTTAAATTCGAGGCACACACAGTTTATCGGCTGAGTCCGCCGGCGGCTTGGCTCGCGATCTCCTGACCTCCGATCTGTGGCTTTTTGCGGCACCCCTGTGGGCCCATCTCGTCAGAGAGCAGAGCATCAGTGTGCGTGGCCGGGGCGACCCTGTTTTTTTTTTTTTTTTTCTGAAACTGGGTGACCTGTTCGGTTGACCAATATCTTATTATTCCATCGGTTTCATATTAAGAGTCATTTTAACTTTTTTATTGATTTTTTTTCAAGTTTGATTAAGTTTATTAAAAAATTAAATAGAGTAAATTTCACATTGGGCCACATATTTTGACCAAGATTTCATAATAGACTAGGGTTAACCCAATGTTTTCACTTAACACCATATATCTTTACATAAGTTTTTAGTTTGGACTAGGGGTGAATAAAGCAAGGGAATGTGAAAATTAAAAGTTTATATGATTTACAAAGGGATAATTATAAAAGGCAAAACATTTTATGTTTTCTTCCTTCTTTTCAGTGTGAGTGGTAATTAACTATTTTCTATTTTATTTTTATTCATTTGCCCCTATGTATAGATCATTTTGTGCCACTTTTAAACATGTTCGCATCATTATTTTAGTGTGATTTGCTGAAAAAAGTTGTTTTGTGATTTGCTATTTCTTTCTAAAGATATTTATCTTAATAGTATGGAACTAAAAATAATGATTTAAACTAGCTTTTCTCTGACAACTTCAATTGATGTGCTCAACCCTAGTCTAAAGTGCCAACTAGTGCAAAGATACGTGGTGTTAAGTGAAAAGGTTGATTTGGCCCTTGCCCATTGTGAAACTTTGGTCAAAATATATGGTGCATTGTGAAATTTACTCAATTAAATAATAATTTTAACACAAAACAAACATATTACCAAAATATATTAAAAGTTAATTTTAATGAAACTAATTTGGTATTTTAGATATTGCTAAAGTTCTTTACAAATTTAGTAAAGCATAAAGAAGGTTGATTAAGAAAAAAAAAGTTAAAAGCCAATTATAATATAAAACGAAGAGAGTATCAATATCTTCTATTCCCTTCATCCGAAAAATATACTTAACGATAAGTGGCTTTGGACGGAGGGAGTATATGGTTAGTATGCTATCTTTTTTTAAGGCTAAAATATATTAATTTGAAGATAATAGTTTACGCATATGTGTATTACTATTGAAAGTACATGTCTAACCTTTTTATACAATTTTCTTTGATATTTGCTAGTTGATATGCATTAGGTATGCATAGAAAGTTTACGTACATAGGACACACTTTAAAAGTTTTTGTTATATATAACTGTTGAAATTATAAGCACACATAATGATTTAATTTATACCATAAATAAATCATGACATCGCAGATGCAAACTAGCATAAACGCATTATAAGATCTACACATGTAAACTAGATAGTAAAGCATGAACAAATCGAATATTCACAACATGCATGAAGGACTCGCAGTTGCGGGCATTGACGACGACGTGCAGCACGCGAGCGAAGAGGAAGACGAGCCGTTGTGGTCGAACAGGGAGCAGTTGCGCAAAGCGCTTTCCAAAAACCTTATTGCCGCCTTTTCCCGATTCAGGACGTTGAAGGTGAAGGTTCCGGAGACCTGCTCACCCGATCGCCGGTGCACGCCGACGAGCGGAATGGAGTAGACTAACAGCGATGGTGCAGTACAGAAGAGGAGGCAAACCATAGATTGATTTCACGTATATTGCGTGGAGGCGGCGGCTCGACTTATATAGAGATATCAGGACGCTTGATCAGGATGCTTGCATGATCTCCACTCCGCATAACCGAACCGGATAAGTCGTGCGTAATTTATCCGGACTCCATGCCGTTTTACGCACCGGATTATTCGGAGTGTTTCCAAAAAATAGATCCGCACTCTGCATAACCGAACCGGATAAGTCGTGCGTAACTTATCCGGACTCCATGCCGTTTTACGCACCAGATTATTCGGAGTGTTTCCAAAAAAAATAGATCTGAATTTTCCGCAACAAAACAAAATTGTGCTGCCATGCCAGGCCAAGCGATTGAGCATGCGCGTGTGTTCCCCCTCTTCTCTCCACCTCACATGCCTCAAGTGCCCAGGAGAGCATCCTCCCTTATAAGGACCTCTCTCTCCTAGAATTGGCAAGGTGGTACTAAGCTCTCCATGCATGCCATCCCATAAGGTGGGCTTTTGTGATTTTTCAAAGAATTAATCTTCGAATGGGCTAAGGCCTATCTATTAACTCCAACGATCCCCCACCAAATCTCAAAATCCCATTGAGATTTGCCTTTTTTCCAATGTACCATTTATATACCAGCGGTTGAACATCCACCTAGAACTCCAAGCTACACTTACTCACAACTTGAACAATGGACTATGCCTTAAATTGCAAGTCTTGTGCAAGCAAGTTTCACTCAGAGTCTTATCTAGTACTAGACCGTCAGTAGACTACCCCTCGGGTGAAGCATATAAGTCATACTCCTTGGTCTCTTAGTAAGCTTCCTAGAAGATTCACCCAAAATCTTCATAGACTGCGACCAACAATGAAGCTCACAAAGGTGAGTTCTTTCAAGAATGCTCTTCAGGACAACATCTTCGCTAATTAAAGCCAGCAGAACTCATTAAGGCACAGCCAACCTACATTGCAGCTCACGAGAGTACATGCATCTTCACTTAGAGAGAGTTTAGATTGGTACTCTCCTCCAGTTAACTAATGTCTTGTTCTTCCTAGGATCTAATTCACGGGATCTCCGATCACATAGACTAGGTTACTATTGGTATTTCTTAATGACATCACTAGAAAATTCATTCCCAGCAATGACGCAGAAATAGTCCTGGTATATTTATGGTTTCAGAAGTAATCCACAATTGCACGGATATACCATTGTAGCATTTCACCCAGAAGTAATTCAAGGTATCATATTTATTTAATCCCAAGAGAAGATTGTGAAAGAGAGAACCACGCTAATATATACACATATATATTACTTGCCTTTATCAAAACCTAGGCAGGGGTTAATTTAATATAAGGGTAGAGTGATACGAAGCGAAGCTTATAGATTTCCTCAGATAAATAATTCTAACTAAGTGGAAGAAGAGATAGAAAGAACTCATTTCCTATACTTCTAATTACAATCAACTTTACTCTACACTTGCTAGTATACAATCATGTGGCCAACACCCCCTAACAGTGCCCTCCTGGTGTTTCGAGAGATCACCCCGGGTTGCCGAGTTTCTTACGACAACCTGTCATGGCCGTCCAACCGGGGCTAAATACGGAGGAGTACCCTCCCCATGAATTTGTCTTAGGAATATATATACTAACATGGAGGAATACCCGTTCTGAGCTGTCATCATCAGCGGCCCACCACTACTCTCCCGCAGCATATATGCCCAGATAATGATACTTACTAATATAAGCACCATGCTTACATTAATAAATACTACTCTACACCTCTGCAGATGATATAGAGCAACCGATAAATCGGACATTAAACCCACACCATTGCACATCTCTAGTAGGCTACACACACAATTATACTGACACATATGTAAAGTAAGAGCAGTACTCATACTATGTAAAGTACCGAGAATATATAAAGAAGAATATTTCATTAATTTGGAAAGTATTACATAAGAGAATAGAAAAGCTACTAGAGCCATACCGAAACTCCTCCGGAAGCTCCGAGGACTCCAAGAACTATTCTATACTACTTCCACTTAGCACTAAACTACTAATATAAAGTATGAAGAGGAATCTTGAGCTTGCTTGAGTGTGTTGAGAGAGTGAATGAGCTCCTCCTTTTATAGGACAGTTATGACGGTTGTAGCCATGCGTAATGTTCATTTTGCTCCTGCAACAATCATTGAGAGAGCATCTGGAGCGTCCACGTGGAGGGCTGAGCTGACTAGGCGCTGCCAGGGTTCGGGGTTCGGCCGAACTTGGGCCGGCTCGGCGGCTGTTAAATGCCGATTCTATACCGCCAACATCTGCATAAAGTCCAAATAATAAAACATCCAACATAGTGATAGGTGTTTAATCCCACATATTCCACAAGTATTGGTGTATATTTGTGTGCAGGTGTTAAACCCCGAAGTTGGGAAGAAATCTAGACTAAAGTGAGGAGAAATATGTATCCATACAAGGATGGGTTGTAAACATCATCAAAATATCAAAACTCAGCCCAAAACTCCGAGAAATGGATAAAGGAGGACTAGAGGAGGAGATGAGCCAAAAGCTAGGCCGGGGGGCCCATCCCAGGTTCGGCCAAACCAGGGGGTTTGGCCGAACCACCATCTCCACCGTTGGATGCGGGGTTTGGCGTGGACGTCCCAGATGCATCCCTGATGATGGTTGGAGGGCACTTCGGATAATTCCCCTTCGCTAACCGTCATACGTACCCCTATATAAGGACATCATCTCACTCACTTCAACACACACTTCCAAGCTTGAGCTGAATTATGAGAGGCTCTATTGTACTATATTGTATACTAGAATAGGAAGAGAGTAGAGTAGAAGAAGTCAGAAGAATTCCGGAGTTGTCAGTTATGTTCTCTCTTTTCTTTTATTCTGTTTATTACTCTGATTTCAATATAATATTCTTCCTGAGTAATTTAGATTTATCTTGTGAGAATTATCTCTTGGTTAGTTCCTAAATAGCATATGGGATTATTGTTCACTATAATCAACTAAAATATAGTGATTACTTTGGTGAGTTATAAACACTAAGGTAGATATTAATTGCTTAGACGTGGTGTTTAGGTAATTGTTATCCAGTAATTGCTGCGTATCTCATAGTACATTTGAGGTAGGTGTAGAGGTGGTGACAGCCCTTGAGATCACTTAAGTCCTCCCTGTCCGGGTACGTAGCAGAGCGACATCTGGGAATAGCGGTTGCCAGTGCCTGAAGTATTGCGTTAGAATTAAACTTAAGCTTTCCCTAGACACTGTTTTTCACCAATAAATCCTTTCTATCCTGGCCTATCCTTAGCTTGGTGTCCTTGGATGAACCAGAGAAAGATCTGACCACACACGTTCCCTTAAATTCGATACCCTTTGAAATACTCCGTAGGGGAAGTGCTACATCGGTATATCCGTGCGCTTGCGGATTTTATCTGTGACCGTAAGAATTACCAACACCCAGCAGGCCTCCAGCTTCGGCAGGGTGGCTGATAGGTGGGTTCCAATGACGGTTGTGGCAGTTAAGGCGGTTTCCGGCGGTTACACCTGTCATGTGGGCCCTCCTTATCCATTTGCTTGCTTAGGAGTGAGGTTTCTTCACTTTCTCTTTATTTTATTTGATAAATTCCTGCAACATATTATTTTCCATGTACAAGTGGAATTATATTATTCTGAAATAAATATGCATTGCAAGCATAGCTAATTCTTCATTATTGTCTAGACTTGGGAGGCAAGTGGTATGCATATGGTGGTAGTTGCAGACCAATAGGGGGAGTGTTCGTCTGAGTTGATTAAGGACTGAACACCATGTCATTAAGTATTGTTTAACGCGCAACCACATGTGCTAGTTATGGGATAGCCTTAGCTTATTAAGTTGTTTATTGTCTATCCTTGCATTCGGGATGCCGTTGTGGTAGAGGTAGTGGCCACAAGTGTACTATCACTACTACAATAAGGATTTTCCCGTGCGGATGAATTCAATTTTCGCGTGCAGAACATTCGACCGTCTGGAAGGAAGTGTCTGCGAAAATCGCGATTTTCGCGTGTGGGCGCTCAAGCCGCCAGCACGGGAAAATGAAAAATCGAAACAAAAAAAAGAAAAACCAAACCCTAACCCTAATCCAGCCGCCGCCGCCACCACCACCCTAGCCGAGGCCCGCCGCCATCGCCGGCGACGGATCCGTCGTCCCCGCGGTCACCAGCGATGGAGCCACCGCCTGCTCCCGTTGCCGACGCTGGATCCACCACCTGCTCCTGTCGCCGCTGGGGAGGGAAGGGGAGGGGAGAGGGAGGGGAGGAGCCGCGGGCTACCGTCGTCGCCGCCGCCTGCGCTCGCCGCCGCCACCACTGCCCCCATGCCTCCTCTCCGTTGGATCTGCACAGGGAGGGAGGGTAGGGGCCACGCACCGCGGTCCGCTGTCACCGCTGTCACCGCTGGCTGCGCACGCCGCCGCCACCGCCGTCCCCATGCCTCCCCTCCGCCGGATTTGCAAGGGAAGGGAGGGGAGGGGCCACGCGCCGTCGTCTGCGCCCGCCGTCGGGAGGAGATCGAGGAGAGAGGAGTGAGAGAAAGATCGAGAGAGGATATGGAGGAGTGAGAGAGAGAGGAAGGATAGAGAGAGACAGATCGACTGGATAAGAGGGAGAGAGGGAGAGAGAGGACTTAGGCGCGCGCGGATGGGGGAGAGGAGAGAAAAAAGGAAATTTTTGAAGTGGGTAGGAGGGAAACTGTGGGGACACCCAATTTAGGTTTGGTGCCCCAAAAATCCACTCGTGATCGTCTAGGATTTCGATCACGCACAGATTGATATACATAACAACTTTCAATTAATTATACAAATTTGGTCATACAAACTAATTATACAACTGTTAATGGTTTTAAAGATCCAAACTATTACAACCTTATTTGAAAGTATAAAGAAAAACCCAAAGCTACTAAACTTCACAGGTATAAGCTTGAGTGGAGACTAAGCCTAGAAAAACTCGTCGTTGAAGTAGGCCTTGCTACCTTCTGGAACTTCTTCGTAAAACGGTTCTTCTATATGTTAGATTAAGCAAGAGTGAGTACTTATGTACCCAGCAAGACACTTATAAACATGATATGAATATTATTATGGAAGCTTAAATATCATCATCTTAAGCATAAGGTATTGAATTAAAGAGAAAGTAAGCACAACAACAAAATCTCATTATTTTCATTAATATTTTATGTTTAAAACTACTTATACGTCAGGAGTAGGAATCACCCTTATGACACAACTCCAGAACCGGGAGTACGGCACATTCGAATGATTTAATTCACCTCTGCGGAGACTGTCCAGCTTTACCCACACGATGAGAACAATTTGCAAGGCTGAAAACACCATAGCCGTTCGAGAGTCCCACTTACTACTAGTTACTGCACAGTGGTGTCTTGGTTCATCATAGTGGTCGAACTCTTGCCAGGCCTAGGCAAGGTATCTATATCGTCACACTTTCATGAATCCCACTGTTGTGAAACACTGCCCCCTAACTCCTTATGCATGTTTACCCCAAAACCACTCATAGAGCCACCCAACAGTCTTTCATAAAGTGGGACAATGTACTAGGCTAAGTCCAATTACTTGGTCGTGTGGATGGACGCAACTATGTCATTTCCCATGGTATAAGGGGGTAATTATAATCCGGTTAAACCATTCAAAACTTTCCAAACTCCCCACACCAACACCACAAACTTCATCATTCATCAACATTCATCATTACAACACAAAAATGCCCATTTTAACCGGATTTTTAAGTTTGTAAAGATATTTGAATAATAAATCACATAAAATGATGTCCACTGTATCTTTCCATAATCTCATATAACAATGCTTAAAAACATTAAATATCACTTTAAGCCACCAAAATGTTATTCATATGATTAACTTAGGCATAAAGTAAATATGGGGTTGATTATTTCATGTGGTCAAAATTTTAATTGTTTCTTGCCTTGCGCCTTGAAATTTTCAGAGGCTTCAGCGTAGTCGGCTGCATCCACATCAGCTCTGATGCCGACAAAATCTTCTGTATTGTCTAACGTACGTATACGTAAAAGATGGCAAATAAAGCCTATACGGAAAAGTACTATAAATAAACGGTAAAATAAAACAAAATTAGAGCATGAAGAGAGACAAAGGTAATAGGTCAAAAGATATTTAAATTTTGAAAGAAAACGATGTCGGTTTCTATAGGTTGGAAATAAAAATGGTATTTTAAAATAAAGAAAAGGTAATTAAATAAATAAAGAAAAGATATTTAAAGAAATTAAAAGATAATTTAATTTGAAAATGTTTTTATATAAAACAAGAAATTTAAAATTAAAGGGATATAAAGTGAATCAAATAAATTTAAATAATTTTTAAAGGTTAATTAAAATAATTTAAAATTAGAAAGTAAATAAATAAATAAAGAAAATATTTTTAAATAAAGAATTTTAAATTTTAAAAATAGGAAATTTGGTATCAAAATGAAGAGTTTAAAATTAGAAGAATATAGGTCAAAGAATTTCTGGAATTGAATCTTTGGTTTATGAGATATGGATCCCTAAAATTTGAAATTAAAATAAAAAGAAAAGGGTTACTTTATAAGAGGTGGGGCCCGCAAGTCAGTCTTCCCCCCTTTTTCTTCTCTTCTTCTTCCTCTTCCTCGTATCGGCACAGAGGAGAGAGAGACAGAGGAAGGGCGGCGAGGGAAGGGGTGCTCCGGTGGCCGACGGCGCTCGACGGCGGCGGCGGTCGGAGGAGGCGCCGGGAAGGGAAAAGACAGCGGCCGGCGATGGGGAACAAAGGGAAACGACGGCCGGCGATGGAGGTTTGGAGAGAGAGAGAGAGAGCGAGCTTTGAGAAGCTCGGATGGATCGGGGAAAATGGGAAGGGTGCGCCGGGTTTTATAGGCCGGCAAAGGCGGTGGAGGGAGAGATGGTCGACGACGGCACGACTCGGCGTCGATTTGGAGGTGGGGAGGCGGCGCGGCAAGGTGGCGGCGGTGGATTGACTGGGCGAGGTGGCGGCAGCGGATTGGCTGGGCGAGGTGGCGGCGGCGGATTGGCTGGGCGACGGCGGCGCCTGTGGTTTCAGCGGGGGCGGTGGCGGCGGCGGCTCACAGGAAGAGAAGGGGAGGGAGGCAACATAGACTTGTGCCAATTGGGCCGAATGAAGGGATTTCGGCCCAAACTAAATAGGAGCCTTTTGCAATTTATAAATATATTTGAAATATGATTCAAAGGAAATGAAACTTGAGGAGATAAATTTGAGGACTTTTTGAACTTGACAAGGAAATTTAAAATAGGGCTTTTAGGATACCAAAAGGATTTGAAAATTTTTGAACTAAAAACACAACCTAATTAATTAGAGATATAAATTTAAAAAGGATAAAAATAGGAAATGCTCCAATTTAGAAAAATGCAATAAGAACCAAAAGGAAAACTTGTCGCGAAAATTTTTCTCCAAAAATTCAAGATTTTTGAGTATGTTACAGAAACTATTTTCCCATGTAGATCCGCACGAGAAAATTGGCTCATTTTCGCGTGCGGTCCATTTAAGAGGACCGCACGGGAAAATCGATTTTCCCATGCGGTCCTCTTAAATAAACTGCATGCGAAAATGATCAGATTTTCCCGTGCGGTGCGAGTTACCGCCCGCACGTAATCTAAAAGGGTCCATGTCCAAGAATATCATTGCAGTAGTAGTGTATGGGCTATTTCGAGGGGAGCTACCCATGTGTGTGTTTATGATAGGACAAGTGTATTGTTCTCCTATGTGTGTGTTTTCTGTGAGGGGATGAGTGTACTGTTTCACCTCACAGCATGGGCGTCTACGTTTGTCCAATACAACGGTGAGTGTCTTGTGGGAAGAGTTGCTTCGTCACGGTGTAAGGGTCGGTAGGCCAATCATCCTGATGACACTAAGGTCCTGGACTTAGTGTAGGTTTTCTGCTCATGTGTTCATGCAAGGAATAGACAATAGATAATGTAAAGTCTTTGTAATGACGTCTAGACCGCACTCAATGTGTGGATTGTGGTAGTACTGATATCGGACAAACTAGAATGGTTCACATCACGTGGGTCAGGCTGTACGAACACTGTAGAGTCTAAAACTAAATGATTAGTCGTGCTCGTGGTTGTTGTTTGGATTTTGTTGCAGGTAGCTGAGTGTTTCGGGATTCGTTGCTTTTTCAGGGTGACTCTATTAGGGGCCTACACCTAGTTGGCTTGCTTGTGGGTTGGGTAGTTAAGCTTCCGTGAATCACTATCTTATTTGGCCGGTCAGCCTATGTTTATGATAATATTATTGTAGTATGTAATTTAATTAATTTCAGCCTTTATTCTTGTTTATCATTGCTTAGATGAAAGTGTGAGACTAGTCCTCGTCCTAGGAACTAGTGAAACACGAGTATGGGTTCAGAGCAATTGAGATGGTTGATGAATTTAGCAAATCAGTCTAAGTCTCTTGGAATTTGTAACATATTTGGTCGCTGCATTCATGTGGTTTGACGGGCATGTTTTAGGCTGACGTTGACTAGCACGCTTCTCCCGTCGAATGTCTCCCTTGTTCTCTACTCGACGCTTCAAGTTTTGTATTATGTGTGTTGTTTGTCATGCCAGGGGAGTGATGAGGTGGGATGGTTACCTTTTTATTTGGTTTATATTGAGATCCCATCTAACTAATATTTCACACTGTCATTCCGAATAGCATATATAATATCTAGCCAGGGTGTACTACATTCTTTTTTTTGGGGGGACGGGGGAGGGCGGGGGTGTTCATTCATTCTTGCTTATTTGAGAAGTAGTTATTATCGCTTGTAACTTTGATTAAAAGATAATATGTTATATAAGCAAAAAAATCTTAAATCTAATGCAGCTAGTCAAAATCCACACCAAGATCAGCCATAAGACTTAATGTTTTTGCATAAAGAGATATAGCAATAAAAATCTCACAGATATATATTACAATTATGTTGACTGCAACAAGTGGAAGCCCATTCTCCAATAAGAATCAATATTGTTCCCAACAAGATTACAATACTTAGCCATTTGTAAAAAAAATACATCAAACTTATATGTGTAGACATCATTGCCATCGACCATTGGTTATCATCCATGTCAAATAAATTTTACATCTTCAATAGCAATAGAACTTGCTCCATGTATGAGGTCTTAGATATGGTCGAAGCAAAATGAATTCACACATTCTGTAGATATGCACCAACATTAACAAACATTTATAAGGAATAAAGAATATTTCCATTAGTTCATATAGTGGCCAACTTTTATAAAACATAAGGAATCAAACAATTTGCATGATCAATACATCCATAGACAACTATCCTTCTAATTTATATTGCCAACTTCAATATTACATCAATTAGAGTGTATGGAGACTGCATATTTTAGAAGCTAAGAATATACTTTAGGTTATATGTATGATATCTAGGAAGAAGCATCACCTTTTATATCCAAGTTCTTCTAAAAGCATATAAAGAAAGTCCCACAAGTTCATAGGCTCCATATTAGTTATGAAGTAAGCCTAGAGAAAGTTAAATGCACCATGAAAATTTATCAGCAGTGAAACTAGTGCAATTCAATAATAGTGATATACCTTGCCTCCACTTATCTTTGAACCCTCTTTAGTCGAGAGAGTTTTCTCAGCACAAATGTGGCCATGTACCACATTTTCAACATATACAAAATCATCACAATTCATTCCATCGCCGATAATAAACTGCAAGAAGATATAGAACCCAAGCCCTTTCTATTTATTGTAGAGGAGAAATATAAATAATGTAACATGAAATATTCAATGTTCTTAGATATGCATGTATTAATGTTAGTCCACATAACCACACGAATTTTTAGTTAGCCTTGACCCCAGTGGTGGGTGCATTGTTGGGGATGATTGAGGCTCTAGCCCAACCTCCAACAGCTAGGAGTTCCTTAATATCTTTGCATCCACACTATCAGAGAAATTTACATGCATGCAAGTAGTGATGATGGGATAGTTGGAGAGATTAAGGGGGAAATACAATAAGTATGGGCTATTAGTTGGCACCTTATTAGCCGATAGTGTTGTAATCAATGATCATATTTTATTTATCTACCTGAATAATTGGGTTGGACACTTAATTAGGGGGGATTCATGGCCCCAGCCTCCATGTCGCATAACACAATAGATGCAAAAGTGAAAAACACACAACGGAGTGGCAATCGTGTGCGGTAGAGATGTGTAAACTGCATATATATGCATATATTTCTGAAGAATGCCATGCGTGAAGCGTCATCGGTTTCTTGCTTTATATGTATGTGCATGCGACTCATAACATGATTCTTTATCTGTGGCTTCATATTAATGAAACATGAATTGTATGGATGGTAGTCTGTTGATTTACTGAAAAATTTTGAGTTTCATAGTGCTTATGGATGTAGAGAAATTTATATGACGTTGTTGCAGAGAATTTACAATTTATGTTATCATTTGTTTACTATATATTTTTTGCAACGCCGATTATTTGGTTAGTTTCTTACAAAGGGTTAATTAACTAGTTCATAATCTTCATATCACACACAAACCATATGCTTGATAACTGAGTAAAAATAATAATGTACCACAGTTATGGTCTGTATGACTAAATAAATTATGTACATGTTTATTTACTTAAGGTGCACATATGTCTCGTGAACTACCTATATGTATATAATTTCCTACAGAAGCAAACAATGATGCACATGCAGAATTTGGGGACTTCCATGAGATCAATATTTCAAATATTGTATATGCTAATTACTTGAGGTGTGCCCAATCAAAAGTAGTATCATTAATCTATTTTTAGAACCATTTTGTTTAGTATTTCGAAGTATGAGAGAAATTAACACGATATGTACTAGACGGCTACATACCATCGTTCTCCAGTGGGAAAGTAAATGTGGTACAATGGTGTCACCAGGGCCAAAAATGCTACCAGGACGTATGGAACAAGTTAGAAGTTCACATATGCCGTTGGAATTTCTCACTAACTTCTCTGCTTCTGCCTTGCTTTGTGCATATGCATCAGGAAACTAACATTAATAAACACATAGTTAAAAACACAAAAAATCAAGTGTGAATTTTATACATACTGAAATAAATAAATATGGCTTAATTAAGTAACTATCTAAAAAAATTAGGCTAGTAGTTAAAAGTAAAAAGATCTCTCCCTGTATCCCTATGTAAATGTGTTGAAACATAGTACTATATATACTTTTTTTGCAATTATACTTTGGTATTCAAATAGTCGTAGAAATGTTCTATGTTGTAGATCTAGCCCTTGTTCTAAGTATACAAACTACCCTCTTCAACCTACAAGTAGTGATCATCACCATAATATATTTGTTGATACCAACATACAACACAGTCATTCTTTTCTTTGTTGCTTGGAACACATAATAATTAATTATTGGTGCAATCAAGGTACATACATAGAAGGTACTACATCCATCCCAAATATAAGTTTCAACCATTCCTAACGCAAAGACCAAGAAAGAATTTAATCACCTCCTTGGTTGAATCATATCCATACATGCAAACAATGTGAATGTGGTGCTTGATGGAAGAGGATTTAAAACAAACTAAATTTAAAGGACCAAGATGTGCTAGTTAATGTATGCAGGCATGCATGCATGCATACCTTATATTATGAAACATGGGAATAAAATGGTTGTGCCTTATATTTTGGGATGGAGGGAGTAACAAATATTCATCATTTAGCTAACTAAAAATAGGCTGAAGGTTAGAGAGAGGTAACTAAAAATACACAGCCAAACTTTTTTGTTAGCATCGATTTGATTAAGGAAAACATTTCACAACATGGGGGCATTAATTTTTTTTAGTTCGTGTACCAATGGGTACAACAAAGAAATGAGATTCATAATTGTACAAGAAATTTTGTGACTACTTGAGCATCTAGTAGCATGAGCAACCAAAATAAAGAAAAAATTGCATTCAGTCACATAGTAGAACCTTGTTTGGGTATGGCATTGATTCATCTACATCAAAAAGGCCATGAACTCCGTCAAATACAACACCACTGGAACTGGTGTATATCAGCCTTTTAACCTTGCACGTTACACAAGCATCAATAACATTCTTTGTCCCTGCGTAATAACACAAAATGACTCTTTTAAAAACAAAAAAAAGACAAAAATTGAGACTAATCAAATCCAAATAAGGTGTACATTTTTGAATTAATAACAATCATGTTACCGAAGATTCAAGAATGTTTATGTCTACTTTCATGCTCGTTGGACAAAACAAGCGGGCAGTGCACCCGTGAAAAAAGAATTCTAAAATTCGAAGCTTCACAGTGTTGTTGTCGCCGCGATGGTCCCACAGCGTCGTTGTCTCTGCCGAGGTCGCACAGCTCCCAAGGAGCAGAGAGACTGATATAAATGAGGAGACATGGAGTGGGAGGAGAGAAATTAAGGAGAGAGATGACGTGTGGCCGATCGATGTGATCTTTTCGATATGGGCCTCTTAACAAGTTCTCCTAGAAAAATAACTTTATTTTCACATATGCCAGCAAAATTTAAGGAGACATGGAGAGGGAGTAGAGAAATTGAGAGAGATGACGTGTGGACGACCAATGTGATCTTTTCGCGTGTATATGGGCCTCTAGACAGGTTCTCCTACGAAAATAACTCTATTTTCGCAGATAAACCTCTTAATAAGCTCGCGTGTAAAAATTAACTTTCATAGGTGGGCCTTTTGTAGACACCCCAAAAATTCTTTTACATACCGGTGTTCTTTTAACCTGTTTGTAAAAATAGAGGTATAAACAATATTTTAGTAATATTTTTTTTGTTTTTTTAAATTAATTTGCTACAGTTGTGGCATAATTTAATGCCTCTAGAAAGTGCTTATTCATTCTTATAGACGTAAAAGTATGCTGTTACATAAATGCCACAAGGCATAGTGATAACTTATAAAATCTCTCTTGGTTTGGTTTCTAGAGACAATTCACCAAAATACATTTACGAGCCATTTTGAAGAATGCCTCATAAAACATTTTAAAAATGGCCCTATAGTATTAAAAAATATCTCTACAAGGTTTTTTTTATTGGCGAGAGGATACGAGTCCACCGAGAGGTACCTTAATATCATGTGATGATGCTTTGATGAAACAGTTCTTTATTGCACTTTTTTTATAAATAATAATATTGATGACTATTTCTGAGTCATGTAAGTAATGAGATCATATGCCCATCATGTATAAAGGGGCTTCTCCATAAATGATTCATCAATGATTTTTCATACCTTCAACATTGACCTTGTAATGTAGTTGGAAGTCGTTGATGTCAGGGTCTGCAGCAGCTGTGTGAAAAACAACTTCCACCCCTTGAAAAGCTGCATGGCATGGATGACAGATTGAAAATTCTATACTTGCAGTTATAAAAAAAAATTGTTTATAGAGATAAATCATAGATTAGGAAAAAATTAGATATCAATGGACTAATATGTTTGGTGTTCGGGGTTGACACGGTTTATCACGATCATCTTACTTTGATTATAAATAATTTTAAATGATTATATTACGATAAAGAAAGTTTGATTATAAATAATTTTAAATGATTATATTACGATAAATGAAAGTTCAATCGATAATATAAGTATATCATAAATTGTATGGTCCTATTTTGTATAGATAATATGACATATTTTCAAGTATATATATTTTTTTTCTCGCAAGAGAAGAGGTGAAAGATTGAACTTGAATAACTTGTGTCAATTATTTGACAATGAAGTGGGTATAGTGTGTCATAGAAAAAAAATTGAAATATATTTTTTTTCACCTAACCGCGTGTGTGAGTTCGCTAATTGGTTTGCAAACTGGCTTCCTAATGCTAAATTAACAATGGCCTCACGCCGAATTAAATGTTACTACTAATTGATTACTAACGCTAATTTAAGAAATAACGCTCAATTAATTAATTACTAATGATGCAAATTAATTAATTAATCGCATGAGTTCACTTCGTAGGGATGCGAGTTCACGTGAACTTGTGATGACATCACGAACATGTCACGAGTTCGAGCACTCACCGTGTTAACTCGCCGAGAATTTGCACCTTGCTTCATGGTGGTAACGGTAGTACTTACGCTACTTCTTTCTAGTAATACCGGTGAAAAAAAGGTATACTTCCAAAAGAATTTTGTGTGTGATAAGGATCCATTTAGAAATGATCGTGTCTTTTCCTACTAATGCCACGATTGAAATAGGCGAATACGAGGATTAAGTAGAAAATGTAAAACGAGAAAATAGTACGTGATTAATTAAGTTTTATTTATTACAAATTTAGAAAATGTTTTTTTATATTTTTAAGCAACTTCTATATAAAAATTTTTCGCACAAAATATATACCGTTTAGCAATTTAAAAAATATGCTAACGGAAACCGAGATAGTATTTGGATCTTAATCTGCATTGTTTTTTCTTGGTGAAACTGTATGATGTATCAGTCACATACTCTCTCTCCATTTACAAGAGTTAGACATATTTCCTATTTGAGTTCTTTCAAATAAGTTGTTTTTATTTGTTGTTTCTATGCATGTAAGAATTAAATGGAGAGGTAAGTAATTGTTTCATCGAAACATGAGGAGTTATCTTAATATTAATGTATTGCATGCGTGCATACACTCTTTGATCTTTGTTTCATGCAAGATAAGTTAATTTCTTCTTTAGTTTTGGTGACAAAAGTAATAGGTGTAACTTTTTTTTTGGGAGGATGGAGTATTTTGTTTGATTGTGATTTTGAGTGGTTGGCTTATCATAAGAGCATTACCTCATGTCACAGAATAATTATTCTGTTGTTTATGCGCCTACTGTTAGCCCTATACTAGGAATTTAAATCAAAAAGCAAGTCAGAGGATTTTGTTTGAAAGTATTGTTGAAAAAAAGTATACTTTACTTGGAGCTTAGCCGTTTTTTATATTGATAATTGTGACGTTACACAGGGATTGTTGCCCGCGCGAATTTCATAGACTTAATTATTATGGTCCTAGTGCTATGTTTCCTCCATCCTCCATGATGTAACATACTTCCTCGGTTCTATAATAATTGACGTTTTGCATAAGATTGAGGTCAAACTTTTATAATTTGACCATCAATAACTTTAAAAATATTTAGTTTAAAAAAACTAGAACAACGTATATAGATTTGTCTTTCAAAGCACTATAATAAAAGTAAACATGCATTTATTTATTGTGTATATTATAATAGAAAAATAAGGTCAAATATATATTTTGTAGACCATGTCATTGTCTAAAACGTCAATTAAAATGAAACCGGAGGGAGTAACCATTAATCCCATTAATTAATCCAGTTTGTGTTATCAGTCAGGTTCAAATTACAAATCCGGAATGGTAATTAATAAGTGTAGTTTCGCTAACTCATCATTGCAAATTTAAAGATTATAGTATACATGACACACATGAATTTGGACGGAGAAAATTTTATATGAAAATCCTGTAACTTTATAATTGATAACCTTTTTATTTTGGCTCATATTGAATGCCTAAATATTTGCCAAAAGCTTTGGAAAAAGGGTCTAGTTAATAAGAAGCATGGGGTGGGGGGGGGGGGCGCCCAGCGATCGGTCCCGGGCCCCCCGCTCCTATAGGCACTCCTCCCACTTCTCCCCTTCCTCCTCACCTTCTTCTCTTCCTATTACAGTACACCACAAAAAAATTTTAAAAAAACAAAAAGTTGGAAAAATTTATGTATAAAAAAATTGAATTCAAATTCAAATTTGAATCGGGTATGTAAACTTTTGACTTATAAACTTTGGATCTATAAATTTTAGGTGTATAAACTTTAGATGTATAGAAATACTATATATATATAAAATATTTGAATTATTTAAATTCAAATTCAAATTTGAATCGGGTATATAAACTTTAGGTCTATAAACTTTAGGTTTATAAACTTTAGATGTATAGAAATACTATATATGAAAAATATTTGAATTCAAATTCAAATTTGAATCGGATATTTGAATTCAAATTCAAATTTGAATAAGATATAATTCAAATTCAAATTTGAATAAGATATAATTCAAATTCAAATTTGAATCGTCGGATATATAAACTTTAGGTCTCTAAACTTTAGGTGTATAAACTTTAGATGTATAGAAATACTATATATAAAAAATATTTGAATTCAAATTCAAATTTGAATCGGATATATAAACTTTTGACTTATAAACTTTTGGTCTCTAAACTTTAGATGTGTAAACTTGAGGTGCATAAATTTACTAAAATAGAAAAGTAATACGGTACCAAAAAAGGAAACCAGGTGGAGGGAGGAGGAGGAGGCGGGGGGGGGGGGGGGAATTGATCGCTCTGGGCGAGCGAGGGCGATCGCTAGCTCAGTAGCATTTCCGAGAAGCATCTGCATGCTATCTCTGCGAAGCTTGCTTACCACTAACCACCGGCTAAAAAAACCGGTTACTGCTAGTAGTTTGAACTGTCTCTGGTACCTACTCCCTCAATTCTAAAGTGTTTGACGCCGTTGACTTTTTTTAAAAATATTTGATCGTTCGTCTTATTCAAAAAATTTAAGTAATTATTAATTCTTTTCCTACCATTTGATTTATTGTTAAATATACTTTTATGTATACATTTAGTTTTACACATTTCACAAAATTTTTTTAATAAGACGAACGGTCAAAGATGTTTAAAAAAGTTAACGGCGTCAAACATTGGGAATGAGGGAGTAGTTCTGTAGTACCGATGATTTGTTATCCATAGCCATTTTTGTAACCAACTGTGATGCTGTCACGGCCATATGGTCATTGTTTTCTTTGACATTATATTATATCAACCAAATAAATTAACATAACAAAAAGAAAAGCAAAAGCGTATAGACATTATATGTTGATGCCTTAATAATTAATTATTAGTCGAAATTCATGACGTGTACTCCCTCAGTCCTATATATAAAAACAAATCTATGATGGGACTATGAATCTAGATAGAACTAGGGTATCTAGATAGAACTAGGGTTTAGGGCATAGATCTGTTTAGGGTTTAGGGTTTTTGGTTTAGGGTTTAGGGTTTAGGGTTTAGGGTTTATTTTTTTAAGGACGGATGAACTACTTTCTTCAAGCATGTCTTGTATTCGCTTTTTCTTTAATGAAAGCATAGCTCGTATTTCTCGATGGAGAGAGCAATTGAATACATAGTTGCTGTCGAAGGGCCACGTTTGGAATTGACTGATTAGCCACATGTAAAATTAGAAACGTTATTAGATATGATTAATTGAGTATTAATTAGTGAAATCTTGAAAAATGGCCTATTTAGAAAACATCATGTCATTTTGTACTAGCTAAGTGTATCGATCACCATTGATTTTTCTTGGTGGAACTGTTATATTGTACCAGTCACATATTTGATTTGATTTGATTTTAAGTGGTTGGCTTGTCATTGGAGCATTAGCTCACGTGACAGATCAGAGAGGCCCAATCAACTTAATTATTCTCTTCTTATGCGGATTTTTGTTTGAAAGTATATATATGGATAATTATACTCCATTTTAGTAACAATCAAACGTTGACTCATTGCACTACACCGTGACCCACTTTTGCCAACACTCCTTTATGTAGGGAAAATATTTGCCAAAAGCTTCGGAAAAAGGGTCTAGGGGAAGAAGCATATCTGTGTGCTATCTCTGAGATGGTTAGCGGTAAGCAAGTTTCTCGCATATCGAGGTTGAGGTAAAAGTTGCTTGACACATCGTATTATTTACTAGTAGATTATTCGTATAATACGATTTTTTTTCCGTCAAAGAATTCGAATTTTGCAACCCAGTTCATAAACCACAAAATAGCAGTGATATAGTACTATACATATTGTAACTGATGGTGTTATAACCGGCAATTATACCTCCAAGCACAAGCATAATTGTTACTTACTTTGTTACCACCGGCTAAAAAACCGATACTGATATTTTCAAAACTTCTTGTATTTCCTTTTTTTACATAATAAGCAGCTCGTATTTCTCAATATAGAGAGAGCAATTAAATACAGCGTTGTTGTCTAAGACCCCGTCCTAAAGTGCTTTTTGAAATGGCCGATTAGCCACACGTAAAACGAGAAATTTTATTAGCATATGATTAACTGAGTATTACTTCATTCATTACATTTTGCTCATCTCATAATAATCATTATATAAGAGGTGTCAATTCGTTTATTTCTGTAGAGTAAATATCATGATTATATGTCTATTTGTTTATTTATATACAAGTAAATACTATGGTTGCATGTCAGTTCGTTTATCACTGCAGGAGTAAAAATGATATCGTTGCATATCCACATACATGCTAACATAACGTTTTGATCGATGAGGTTTAATTTAAAAGGAAAGATTTTTTTTCTTGTCTTGGCCTCAATACCATTCGCAAATATGATGAGATGTAGGAAGTAATTATTGAAAACTTTAAAACTAGATTTGTTTCATTTTTAAAATAACCTTTTATATAGAAAATTTTCATACAAACGGTGTCGTTTAGCGGTTCGAAAAAAGCGTACGTATACGGTAAGAAGATCGAATTAATTAACCTTTGGTCAACTGCGTTATGTCGCAAACATTGACGGAGTCATAGACGGCGTGGCCGTCGCGGAGGGCCTCGCCGAGGAGCCCCTTCTCCTCGACGGGGTCAAGGGTGATCGCCGGCGCGAGGTCGGTGATCCGCACGCGCCACTCGCCGGAGCGGAGCAGCGCCGCCACGAGGTGCCTCGCCATGAAGCCGCGGCCACCGGTCACCGCGCACCACCGAGCTGCGGGCTCTTCTTCCTGCAGCCGGCGGCCGCCACTACAACCGTTCGCGGCCGGCGCCGTTTCCATCGCTCTTGCTCGAAAGAAACAAGGGAGGGATATATAGCTAGCTAGTAATAGCTAATGGTCGTATTGTGTATAGTGCGGTGATCGATTAGTGTGCTGCCGGCCGGTATAGCTGCATTATCGTTTATTTATAGGCACGGCGCTGTACATAGAAATTGCCGCGCGTGGTTCAAAATATAAAATGAGACCCTACTGTTAGGTATTATCAACAACCAGAATAAAACAGAATAGTAAATTAACAGAACAAAACAGAATATAGTGCATTTTACGTTAGGCAGATATGTACATTTTAATAAATTACGGCATTGACTTTTACGTGTGCGTGTTGGACCATTCATATTATTTAACAATACGTAAGATATATGAATAATGATTAAAATATTTTTATGATAAAGTAACTGAGCCAAACAAAATAATTTTTAATCATGCATGTACTTTTTTAAATTATAAAAGAAATTATCAATCATGTATCCAAAAGTTAACGGCCATGCTATCTGTTAAAAAACGAAGGCAGGTAGTTTGTTCATCAAAGTTACACACAATAGACCAGTCTATACTTACTTTTTTCACTAAACGGTAAAGACCATGAAGAATTGTGTCTTGATCCAGTGATTTATTTCTTTAGTGATTTATTTCTTTTGTAAAGCAGGAAAAAAATCTGTAATTCCTAGCACATACGTTGACAGCAGCGTTATGAGACCAGTGGTGTTTGATTGAGTTTTAATTATTGCAAACTTGAAAATTGATTAATCTGATATTTTAGAACAACTTTCATATAGAAAGTTTTCGCATGAAACGCACCGTTTAGCAGTTTAAAAAACGTGACACGAATATTCAAAACTTTATCCAGTTTTTGAAGTGGAAACTAACGGAGATATAGTTGTTTAAAGTGGTCCTGTTATCGCCGAACATTTAACCGAGTTCAAGAGAAAAAAGCCCGTTCTAAATAGATAACTAAAGTAGGAAGATCAAAACTTTTGAAAAATGGAAAGATATATTTTTAAACATGTTAAACCTTATAATTAGCATAGACCACTACTAAAAAAGTATTTTTCCATGTGGTTGGGATACCTGTCTACCGAGAAAAGTTTGCGGAAATAGCGGTATTTCCATGCGATGCCTATGTGAGCCGCATCCAAAAATAAAATTCCAAAAAGAGATAAAAATCTCAAAATTGAAAAACTGAAATCCTAGCTAGCCCAGTGCCAGCCGTCGCCCGCCTCCAAGCACGGCCGCTGCCCACCAACCGTTGCCACTCCCGAGGTTGGAGGATGCGGATCCGCCCACCGTCGTCGCTCCCGAAGGTGGGGGCAACGCTCACCCCCACCACCGCTGCCCACCACCGCCGATCCCGTGGTGAGGGAGGGAGGGGGGCGGATCCACCAGCCTCCGCTGCCGTTCCCGTGGTCGGAGGGCGTGGATTCTCCCACCATCACTCCCAAGGGTAGGGGCGATGGATCCGTCCGCCCCCCGCTGCTCCTATGGTTGGGGCCTTGGGGGCGGTGGATCCGCCCACTCCTGCCTGCCCGAGGTCACGCACCGCCCGCTGCCATTCGCCACCAAGCACCGAGTACCCAAGATAGCCGCCACCGCTGCCTGCCACCGGGGTTGAGCCCGAGGTAGCCGAAGCTGCCTGCCGTGTGCCGCTGGGCACGCCCGCTGCCAACCCGCTGGACGCTGAGATAGAGAGAAGAGGAGGTGAGACTGGGAGGAGGAGAGTAGGAGGACTAAGAAGATAAGGTTGGACTTCTAAGCGAGCCAGACTTCTAAGTAGATTCTTAAGAGGTTAGCTAGAGAAAATATATATTTGCATGCGGCTAAAATAGACTCATTTTTGCACGCGGCTATTTTAGAGTCCGTTTGCGAAAATCTATTTTTGCATGACGATATCTTAAGGAGCTGTATGCGAAAATGGAGATCGATTTTTGTAGACGCGGCAGTTATGGTCCGTCTGCAATCAAACGGTGTTCTCCTCTAGAAAAATGGTTTTTCAGTAGTGGACTAATATAAAATATTTCGATCTCTAATTTTTTGTGAGATCCTGTTCAGTCGCCGAACTCGTACTTAATTGTTTGTCGTGACTGCCATTTTTAAATGTGGCGTTTAACAATTTACCACTAAATTATGTATCATAGACACATGAGAGTCCGCATGTTAGACTATAATTGGCAATTTGTTAAACGTCAAAATCTCTAATAGTTAAATGTCCCAGGGCCGGGGCGTAGGACTAGCTATCCATGCGTATGCGGCTATTCTGTATACGAAATGTGAACCACGAGCTCAATAATTCGTCCTTTTAATTTAAAAATAGATATTGTGGCATATGATATGATGCGTGCAATCAAATATCTCAAATGGATAAATTAATATAAAAAAGATTATAGATATGGTAATATATTAGTAATAGACTTCTCGTCCATCCCCTATTGCTTTCTATGAGCAGGAGCATAACCATCACTTTTAATTTCTCTTTAATTTTCATTCCGTGCGTGTAAGTTGCCTAACTTCATTATTACCATTTTCTGGAAAGTCTTCGACTTTCATCTTCCAAAAGAGGGACATTTCAACTTCATAAATCAGAAAGTCCGAAAAAAATTTCAAAAAGTCTTTACTTAACAATAAGAACTCTTAACTATATATTATGTTGGAAATATAGTCATTATTCGGCATATTTTAATCCAAGAAATTGAAACTATGATCATGGCATAAGCAGTGTAGGGTGATCTTAACATAACCAGTAGCATACTATGCGCATCATGAATGTCAGAAACAGGAACATACCAGTAATGCGATAACATGCTAGAGGCATCATGTAGAACAGGAACAAGAACATAGCGCACACAGTATAGCGCTAACAATGGGAACATGAGTAGCGCTAACAGCAGTAGAAGGAGAAGATTATACCCCGAGAATGGCCCTCCGCTGGATGGTGAGGCAGAATTGCCTCCGTTGTTGTAGTCGTTCACGGCACCTCCTCCTGGCGCACCAGCTCCGGATCCAGCTCCTGTCGGCGTCGGCGGCGGCGCAGCTCCTGTCGGCGGCGGCGCACCACCTCCGCCAATAGCGGCGGCAGCAACTCCAGACATGGCGATGAGCAGTCGTGCAGGAGGCACTCCCCAAAAACCTGATCACCCGCCTACCCGGTGCAGATCTCAGACGAAGGTGTGGTTTCGGAGGCACTGCTTCTTCCAATCTCTCGTGCGCGCAAGAGATCAGAAGCGGGGAAGCGAGAGCAACTCAGGCGCAGAGAAGGAGAAACTAACACCGGGAAAGAAGCGAGGAACTCGGATCGGACTCGCGGCCTCCTTATCTATCAGGAGAAAGAACGTGGACGCGCTGTTGCGGAGGGAATCGTGGGAACGTGGGTTAGTGGCTGCAAAAGGATAGCGACGTGACGTGACGCACGCACGCCCACCCGCCAGCCACGCCACGCCTCGCCTCGCCCTCGGCCACGGCCCGGCCCGGCCCGGCGCACGCGCGCGCGCGCGTGTGGCATTCCGACCCCCACCTCAACTAGTCAACAGGGAGCCTCTAATAACTCCCTATTTAGGTTGAGATATTTCTCGCTTAAATCCAGAGGTGGTATTATTATCCTCAACATTTATTATGGGCCTTTGAGATTTAATATTATAAGTTGGGCCTAGCCCAATTATTCTAACAATCCCCACCAAATTTCAAGGCTCATAAGAAATGTTCTCAAGGCTGTGCCTGTTTGATATACCAGGGTTTTGGTGGAGACTGTTAAGTTGAACTTCCACCTAGGAAATGAGCTACATCAGACCACAACTGAACAATGGACTATGCCTTGAATTGTAAGTTTTGTGTGATCAGGTTTCACTCAGAACCTTGACTGGTACTGGGCTGCCGTTCGCATCCCCTCTGTTTGGAGCATATAAGTCAAACTCCAGGCCTTTCATGAGTATCTAGAGATTGCCCAAACCTCATAGACTGTGACTAGCAGTCGAACTCATATAGGTGTGTTCCTTCTGAGATGTTCTGCAGGTCAACATCTCTGCTTGGAAAAGCCACTCGGATCACATTAAGACATAAGCCATCCTACCATGCAGGAAAGAAGAGAAGCACATCATGAAAATGAGCCCCTTTCAAGGGTCTCTTCTCTCAGTCACACAATAGTTTGTTTCACCATCCAAATTCACGGGATCTCCGATCACAATGGACAGGTTTCCACTATTATGCAACCTTAGGTGGGTATCAAGCCCATTTCCCTCGATGCACTGTCTATCACATTACGTGGTAGCCCCTTGGTAAACTGATCTGCCAGATTTCTAGCCGTTTGGACATAGTCCAATGCTATCACTCCGGAGTTTTTTCTGCTTTCTGACAGATTTCAGTCTTCTCTTGATGTGTCTAGATGACTTCATGTTGTCCTTTGAACTGTTCACTTTAATAATCACTGTTTGATTATCGCAGTTCATTAGGATAGCTGGCACTGGTTTTTCAACCACCGGCAAATCCATCAGGAGTTCACGAAGCCACTCAGCCTCAACTGTCGCAGTATCTAGTGCTGTAAGTTCTGCTTCCATTGTTGACCTCGTTAAGATGGTCTGCTTGCAAGACTTCCAGGAAACAGCGCCACCTCCAAGTGTGAACGCATATCCACTTGTGGCTTTTATCTCATCAGCATCAGATATCCAGTTTGAGTCACTATATCCTTCTAGTACTTTTGGATACCCGGTATAGTGAATTCCATAGCTCATAGTGCCCTTTAGATAGCGCATTACTCTTTCCAGAGCCTGCCAATGATCATCTCCCAGATTTGAGACAAACCGGCTCAGCTTGCTTACAGCAAATGAGATGTCAGGCCTCGTTGCGCTAGCCAAGTACATCAATGAACCAATGATTTGAGAGTATCTCAGTTGATCCCTTGCTATTCTTCGGTTTTTCCTTAATAGCACGCTGGGATCATAAGGAGTAGGAGCTGGCTTACAGTCACTATATCCAAAGCGACTCAAAACCTTGTCCACATAGTGGGATTGCACAAGTGTGATCCCACCCTCATCTCCTCTTTGTAGTTTGATGTTAAGAATAACATCAGCCTCTCCCAAATCCTTCATTTCAAAACTCTTG